GATTTTTATTTAGCCAAACGGGCAAATTCTCCATATTTTCTGATCCTTTGAAAACTGAAGACCCCACTGAAATGCGGAAATTATATTTTTTCTTTACATTCTTCTGAAAACCCAAACCATGATCGGGGCTCGACAAGATAAGGCGCCGGGACACATAGGTGCCAAAATGTTAAGCCTGGACGCCCAACAGTGTGAAGTTTTTATATAGGGCTCATGTATTACAGACTGTTCAAAAGATCACTGAATTCAGACCTCCTTCGACCACTGCCATAACAAACAACATTTTCAAAAATATAAACTTTCAGCAGCATTTCTCAGTACCTGCCCAAGATAACTATGTGAGGCAAAGCAACCTCGTTTGTCTGTCGTTCATTTAAATTCCTGTCATTCAGATGTAAATCTAAATTTCTTTCATCCAGAATATATTCCTTGGACGGATCTTTCATTCAATGCAGTTACATGAGAAATTGGTGGTAATTCATGCAAATCACGTTTTACTTTTAATACTTGGCAAATACATTGAACCTTTCTCTGATGTGCTTGTCATTTCCACCAACAACAAAAAAGAGTTATGGGCAGAAACTCACTTACTTTCTAGAAAATGATTTAGATTTTGAACCTTGGCTTAATGTCATTTGTGGAAGCATTTTACGTGCAGCTGTGCCTCTAGACCCAGGTGCAGATAGGATGTGCCATTGATGTGAACACTGAATTGGCAGCCAATGTAGGGTACTATTGGAGCACCTCCAGTGCAAGAACATGGCAAATATCAGTGCTACCAAGGAAAATAATTCTCATCACTATTGACTTCATGTCAGTTTAATGGTGACTTTTCTTTAATAGCAATAACTAATACAGGCGTAATTTAATAGACCCTCTATTTTGTCTGTTCTACAAAAGAATTTTTTATTCATTTCAATTCAATTTTCAGTTTCATCATCCATGAACATCTACATGTGAGCACCATGTTGTTGTTGTTGTTGTTTGGTTGTTGTCCAAACTTCAAGCACCATGCGGCCCTAAAATGGGGAGGGGGGGGGGGAGCTTTTGGTATTTTTAAATTTTTCCATTATGCTTCACAATTTAGGTATTATATCTTATGCAACGTTATTAAATGAATCACTTCTGTTTTTAGTTAAATCAATGTAAGCAAAAATCTATATTTCTATATAAAGCAGGAGAAAAACAAAATTCTTTATAATTTCAGAACCAAAGTTCTTTGTCAACAGCTTGTAGAAAAAAGATTAAATGATATATGATGCAAGATTCTTAACTAGGCAATTAAACACACTTGTTTCATAATTAATAATTATGTAAATTACTCTACTACAGTGCTATATAAAACAATTGTAAGCTTTTTTTCCTTTACCAAACAGATATATATTGTTCCACAAAACACATCAAACTATTGATTTTAGAGATATATCACGTATGCAATTCTACTTTATCATAAATGCTTTTTGCAATAAACATAAAAACCACACTTTTACACTTTAATAAGAATTATTCTTACTTACTTATTATATGAGATTACTTACTGATTACCATATTTTCTTGCTACGAGTTGCGTGCATGCAAAAATTTGTTTAAATGCTTTGATGAAGATTAGTAAGATAGGCATGAAGTGATTTATAAACAAACATCAAATTGTCTTGTAAGAAACTACGTGTAATTGACACATTAAACATTTTTCCCTTTACTTAATACGACTTATAATTCATTAACAAAAGTCTACAGGTGAATAATAAGCTTGTGATTTACATGGAAGCATACAAATGGCCATTTTCTACTTTAAACAATCATATCTTATATATCTTTTTTTGCTCTTAATGATTTATACAATTTAGTAATAAACAATACATATCTACTAATTTACCTTTATATTTACTATTTTACTTATATATAACCATGCATTCTCCACGCCCCAATTCAGCCTAGCGCTTTGTCAATATTGTTTTAGTTTCTTTTGTATGCAGATTCTCACGTGTATATTGTGAGTACGGTAACAATTCTGCCAAAATATTAGATGTGTATGTTTATATTTCCATCAGCAAAAACATATCTTTCTACTTATTAAACTAGATGTGAAGTGTTCAATATCACTGAGAGCAAGGGATTCAGATTTGTTTCAATCACAAACCGGATTGAAAGATGCACTTTAAATGGAAGAAAAAGGGGATTTTCACATAATTTGACTCAATGTAGTTTCGGTTAGTTCTTTCAAGATTATCAAATGTGCAAAGCATATCTCTGGTTTGTCATTTTTATCAGAAAGATCCTTTTTTAAAGTCAATAACTGCTGTAACATCGGACAATCGAAAGTAAAACATTGCTTTTATTCCTAGGTAGTGAGCACCAAGATATTTATCCTCCATAGTTTTTTTATCTTCTTTTGACACTTTATTTAAACTCAATTGCTTTTTTACCCTATCTAAAGAGAAAAAAAAATCAAGAAAAGACTTTATAGCAAAAACACAAAACAGGAATATAACACATTGCCTTTTAAAGGCTAGGGGGAAACAAGTGGCAGTGACTTCGCTCATATTTCACAAGAGACGTGAGCATATTTTTGGTTTAGATTTCTGTACAAAAATAAACAAGAATAGTGCTTCTCTCTCACACGAATGAACAACACATTTTGACAAGAAACTGCCCAACAATGAATGAGGGCAACAATCAACAAAAAAGTAGAAAAATAGACTCTTTCTTCATGAAAGTTGTGGCATTTACATTTTTTTTCTCCCCTTCATGAATTCGTGGAGTACATGAACAACCAGTAATGCACAGGTAATGGCAGCTCTATGTTGGAAAACTACATGTATGGTAAGAGCTATCAAAACTACTTTTCATTTCAATAGCTAAAAACATGAGAGGAATGCTGGTTTTGCTGATGCAGAGAGTCTGTGTTTGATGTGCAATCTTGTCTTTATTGAATGGGTTCACTCATGCACGACTGTGATTTATTCCGTACATCGGGCCTCTTGCCAAGAAATTCATAACGTGTGACGCGATAATTGCAAGTGCTCAGTGTAGAAGGGGGTACTAGCCACCTAGCAGGATATGTAGGGAACACAATGCTCTGATGGTCCGACCTGCCGGCTCAATGCGCTGCAGCGAAAATGCAGAAAAAAGCAAATGGTAACAGTGATTATATATTTTGCTCCGTTTTGTTTTCTGGGCTGTCTTGAAGAATTTTGAAGCGCAAATATATCGAAGTTGAGTTGAATTTCATGATTAAACCCTTGTTTATCTTATGGATATCGGAACTTCCTTTCGCCTTGAAGAATTTGGAAACGCAAATGGCACTGAGAGTCATGCCGCACATCACGTCAAACGCAGACTTTCTACATCTAGTGTAACCAGCTCTTATAGGCGACAATAAAATGGAATGAATATGAACAATAATTAGAACAGTGTTTTTATATAAATTTATTTTTCCCAATGTTTATTTTTCACTTGAACGCTGCAAACCCTACTCATTTTGCAATATCTCAGTCACACCTACGAGACCAACACCATACTGGCGAAAGACCAAAAACATCACGGAATGGCCAAGGATGGGTCTGTTTGGAGTCAGTTTTACTGTGTGACTGTGGTTTAATCATGTTTTATTTCAATAAAAGGGTCTGCATCATTCCAGGAAGAGTAAAGAAATGTCAAAAAGGGCTTTTCCAACTCCTGTTCCTCTTCAATCAGATTGTTCTTATTCACTCCATTTTATGGTACAAATTCTCTGTAAGTGAGCAAACATGAGTTTTACAATGTGAATGGAATTCGGGGAGGGGAGGGGAACGGGGATGCTGGGAGAGAACAGTTTGGTACAAATGGATACAATGCAAAAAAAGAGAGAAAGGAATAGAGAGACGAGAGAGAGAGAGAGAGAGAGAGAGAGAGAGAGAGAGAGAGAGAGCGACACAGGCATACAACCACTTTCTCTCGAGTCTGTCACCCATGTTAAAACTATCAAATATATCACAAGTTTTTATCCTGTGCTAAAGAATATATTACTATACGATTGGGACAAACTCAGTATGCCTTTAAACACAAATGCTTTTCTCTGGAAGAGACACAAATGCTTTTCTCTGGAAGAGATACAAATGCTTTTCTCTGGAAGAGATACAAATGCTTTTCTCTGGAAGAGACACAAATGCTTTTCTCTGGAAGAGATACAAATGCTTTTCTCTGGAAGAGACACAAATGCTTTTCTCTGGAAGAGATACAAATACTTTTCTCTGGAAGAGATACAAATGCTTTTCTCTGGAAGAGACACAAATGCTTTTCTCTGGAAGAGACACAAATGCTTTTCTCTGGAAGAGACACAAATGCTTTTCTCTGGAAGAGACACAAATGCTTTTCTCTGGAAGAGACACAAATGCTTTTCTCTGGAAGAGATACAAATGCTTTTCTCGGGAAGAGATACAAATGCTTTTCTCTGGAAGAGATACAAATGCTTTTCTCGGGAAGAGATACAAATGCTTTTCTCGGGAAGAGATACAAATGCTTTTCTCTGGAAGAGATACAAATGCTTTTCTCTGGAAGAGATACAAATGCTTTTCTCTGGAAGAGACACAAATGCTTTTCTCTGGAAGAGACACATATGCTTTTCTCTGGAAGAGACACAAATGCATTTCTTTGGAAGAAAGGTAGTAGGCTAATAAATATAGATTGGTAAGTTTTTTTCAACAAAAAAGGGGCATATGGCCTATGTAGCTTATGCCCCTACCTACATGTACATTTTTGTTTCTCTCTCTCTCTCTCTCTCTCTCTCTCTCTCTAATTTGATCATTATCTCTCCAATTCTCTCTCTCTCTCTCTCTGTGAGTTCAGCACAAAAAGAGGTCTGTCACAGCACGAGAGGCAAAAACACCCAGCCGTCTGCCTAAGCGTAAGAAGGAGAGCTAGGCAAGTAGAAAGTGAGAGAAAACAAGCTATGAGGAATAGAAGGGAAATCAGGTCTGATGAAGAGTTCAGCCTACTTAGGCGACTCATGATTCAATTTTTTTTTTCTCTCTCTCTCTCTTTGTTTGTTTTTAACAATCAAACAAGACTTGGGACTACAAAATAGTTTTGCGTTTTTTTCCTCCAAACACAGGCACTGGACAAGAACATCATATAATATTCAATGTGGACAAAAAAGACACAAAAAGAGAAAATAAATAGAGAAACAAATAGGTATAAAACAGGAGGGAGGACTGTGATGAACAAGGTGAAACTAAAAGGGAACAGGTACATGCATTCCAATGTGGCAAGTGTTACATCTGGTAAGAGCTTCATAAAATACTGATATTCTTACACATCTCATCATCCCCCAAATCTGACCTCTTGACCTTGTCCATCTCCAGGGTCAAAGTTCATATCCTTTCGAGCGTCTCGTGGAGGTCAGAAAATGTGATGTATGTCACGTTGCTTGCCGACTCCAAAGTCTGGGTGGACCCTTGGCCATTTGTACGCTGAGTGACCGTACAACATTCCTTTCCAACACGACCCCACAAATTCGGGTCAATACACAAGTTGCATACTTTTCCGGTAGTAATTTTGTTTGAGAGAGTAATCAGGAAGTTTAGTACCGGTTGTATGGGTGTGTGCGTAATGTCTCTTTTTGGTGCATAGCTGATGGGTACTTCAGTCGCGTTTGTGCGCCCTCGCTTGGCCACGTCGACTCAGTCTCTGTAGCCCCTCCTGAATGATTAGAATGGCAAGGCAATTATTTAAAATGAGGTCATTATAAAGTTGGTTAATGATTTATGAGAACAAAGATTATTATCAGAAAAACACAACTTTTCTCTTCAACATAATATAAGATAATAAATAAGAAAATAATGGAGATGATATCTGAATACATGTTGTATAAAAAAATCAAAAATAACACTTACATCCCCTAACTTCTTTTCTCTTTTTTTTTCAATCAGAACCAAGTTCTCACCCGAGTTTTCCTGAACTCATAATATGCTAAAATTGCAATGTCTTACATTTCAAACTAAATAACAAATATTCACAAAAAACTAAATTAAAATATTCACAAAAAAGTGAGTTATAAACATCAACAATAATAAGCACATGACACCTTACTACAGCGTATGTACTCTTCCTGTTCAATACAAGACACTGTTATAAAAAAATATGATTATCATAATGAGGAAAATAAGACAAATAAAAATAATCAAAAATACATGGTTTCAGTTTAACATACAATGTATACATACGCAATTAAGGAAAATTTACAGAAAATCTACATCTTCTGTATGCTCAACTCTGTTTTATTTGCCATGGATTAACACAAGGAACTGCCACAATGTTTCAAGTAAATTAATACTTGTACACTGTGTGTGTGTGTGTAGCAAAAGTTGACTGTGGCAGTCTCCTCTTTGTTCCATTGGTCTACCACAGCGGGCAAAGAGTTAATCAGTCGATTCCCAAGGTTGTAAAACAGCCATGGGAAAGATGCAGCGAAGAATGGTTTCGGGAAGCAAAGGGGTTAAAAAAAACGCTCACAGCCTTGTCACAGCCAAGGTTGACACTGTAAACGGACGTGTACGTGACATGACATGGAGTCGCACACAATAAGGAACAGAAGAAGACATTCGGAGAGAAAGAAGGAAGAGAAAGAGAGTTTGGAGAGACAGAATGCGAAGATCTCATTCCAAATAAATAGCAAGAAAAAGAGAACAAGAAGTAACTACTTTTCAGCTAGCTTGCATTTAAAATTGGTTTATTTTATATTCATGAAAAGTGTTTAGATGAGATTTACAAAGACATTTATCTAGAAAATTAATCGGTGATTAATTCTAATTACTTGATTTTATCTAGTTTTGAAAAATCAAACTTCATGGTTCAGGGCAGAAATTTATGAAAATGTTTATCTCTTATTAATATTAAATATTTCTTATCTTTTAATGTAAACCAGTGTCAGTCAAGTTCATGAATTTGATGGAACACATTTATTTTCAGAAAACAATTGCAATGTTCTTTGAATTTTAGACCCCAGTCCCCTAAGATATGCAGGAGGCAAATCTTAATCCCAATGGGGAATCTTTTTAGAACAATCGTAGTGCAACGAGTGATTTTTTTTAATTTTTGTGTTCATACCAAACCCAAGATTTTGATCAACACTGGTTTATCTTACATAAAGTGATTTAAGATCAAAATATGTTTTAAACCCTTTTAATTGCATGCTACTTTAATTGTTGAATTTTTTAGTGTGGCTCAAAATAATTATGATTTTAGGAGTTTACTTTTAAATAGTTATCTCCTAATTCTTAAGTTTAGATAATTATATCATTCTTAATCAGACAAAAGTTAATTTTATGACTAAGAATAAATGGCAAAACTTGTTAAGTATAATTTTATGACTTAAAATGGGTTGTTAGTTAGTACATGTATGCAAGGTGGGATGGTTGAGGGTAAACAAATGACAATTAACAAAGCAGTGAACAGATGACAAACAAACTTTAAAATAAATATGGCGTGAATGTGGACATGTTGAAAACTATTAAAAAATGAACAACACAAATGGTTAGGGGCAATGTAAACACATGTTTAAAGGGGTAGGGTGGGGTTAAGAAGGGAGGAGGGACGGGACTCGCTCTGTGGGTCCAGTTCTCGTGTGACATACCATAGCTATGTTCTGTAAACCCTTCGCCGGCGCCGAATTCTTGAAAGCCTGATGCTCCGCCGCTGTGTGAGGGGAGAAGGAGAGGAAGGGGAGCTAAGGGTCAAGTTTATTCCTATCATTTAGATTTTAAAAAATAATTATTCATTATTCTATTTATTGTTTGATATTAAAGTTAAGGCGAGTTCTGGTCATCTGATTGCATTGTGAAAGAAAAGATGTGGAACGATCAGAAAAAAATTGATCATGTAGTATGTAAGTATTGGTGTGTACTGCAAAGTTTTGGAGTCATCAAAATCATGATAAATTTGGCCCAGTCTTGGTAAAGTAACAAGCACTGTACACAGAAAGATGTATATGGGACTACACAAATGGTGTCGGGGCTACTAACCTTGATTTCCTAATCTTCCTATGCTCATTACTCAGCCAGTATACATTTTCTACCAAAATTGTTTGGCAAATGACATTTATTTGTAATCTTGAACATTCAATTTTCGTTTGATTCTGTGAGAATTAATTTTCTTTTTTTTAACCAGAACTCACCTTTATCTTTAAGGACTGTTTAGTATAATATATTATATTTATTTCAGAGTATTTTAATTTGATATCAGAATAAGTGTTCTTCCATATTTGCAGATTTATTTTGAACTAATCATATTATTCAACATTTTATCTATAATATATCAGATTTATTTCAATGTATCCAATAGATTTAATAACAGATTAATTCTAAATATCATATTATGTCGAATAAGTTATCTTTATCTATAAAATTCCAGATTTATTTCAATGTATCAAATATATTTAATAACAGATTAATTCTAAATATTATATTATGTCGACTAAGTTTTCATAAAAACACTTAATTAATCAATTGAAGTTTATTTATTTTGTTAGATCAGAAATATCTTATTGAGGTAGATGAATTTAATCACATAAGATTGGATTCATGAACAGGACAGAATTGTCATATTGTCATATTTCACCACTGACACGGTATGATGGATATCTTTCATCTTCATGAAATAAACTTACTTTTCCTGTCAAAATACAGTTTAGGTTTAAAAACAAAGTTACTACCAGTTATTCAATAATTAATTAAATCATAACTTCATCTTCAAAATACAGATATTCGATCTTTCATAGTTTTTGCCCACACATGCTTATAATATGTGTAGATAAAGAGAGTCCGTATAAGGCTAAAAATATACAAATCTATTATATTTGCAATATCACTATAAACCAAACAGAATATGTGTCACTGGGTTTTACAGTTAAAATGAAGGCCACAAAATCAAGACTTTAAAGGTACTATGTCCCTTATGCAGCCAACCTCAAATGATGTAGAACTTTGCAGGAATTATGAATATGTCATGTATGTCCTGTCTGTGAAATTTAAACGTTAGCAGTGTCCTCATATTCAAATTATGCAAGGAAACCCGTTTACTTGCTAGACTTCACTGTCAGACACTATTGAGTGACTGACTGGCTTTTTTCTTCTTTGGTAATAACATACATGAAAAGAGTTGTAAAGGGTACATGAGCATTTGTCTACATCAATAACCCACTTCCTGTGATAACCAAGATTAAAATGATTGAATCTTTGCGCAGCATAAAACGTATGACCATTCGGTACAATTGTCTGAAAATCAAGACTATTACTTTTGGGCTCTATAGCCCTAAAGTTGATTTGACAACTAATAGTCATTATTTTCCCACTTGAAGACATTTTCAAGCCCCACCTTTTTTAGGGAAGTTCTAAATTAGTATTATCTTTCAAATGCAGTTGGAATTTAACTTTTTCATTTTTTTGGCCTGCAAATGGGACATAGTACCTTTAATAAATGAAAATGGAAAATCAAAACAAAATCAGAAAAGAAGAATTTCAGCCCCAATCTGTATAAGCGTGAGAAGAATTGTTAAGTGAAAACAATCAATTCTATTTAAATATCTGTTAGCTATTTATGTAATTTAATCTCATTTCTGAATGCCACGATCAAATGTAAAGCATTGTAATGACATTGAGGTTACTACATGTAAGTTTTACCTCACAATTGTATTTTCTAAATAAAAAAGCAAACAAAACCTTACATTTATTAAACAGGTATTATCCTTTTATCGGGATGATTTTCAATCTATTATTTATTTCTGTGACCAAAAGCTGATAATATAGTCCTGTTAGTATGTTAGTTATCTCGAGATTATAATGTGAGATGTAAAACAAACAAGAAAACTGTGTGATTAAATCTTCATGACAGTAAATATAAAGCTGTTAGTGTTATTAATCCTGATGTACAGGTACTTCCAATGGCCTGGAAATGTACAAGTATAAGTTATTGCATGAATTCAAGATGATTGATAGTAATACATTCCTTCTCATGAAAACCAGAAGTAAAAAGTGTTATAATCAAATTAAGATAGTATACTTGGAAAGGCATCTAATTGAGTTAAGGTTTAAACACTTTAATTCAGATAATTCAAACAGAAAAGTTTCTGACATTAAGTTACCAATTTTAATGTTTATCTGCTCCAACAATATTTACAAAACTTTAAATAGAAAGTTTTTTTTGCATTGGCTTATCATATTTTATGCAAATGATTACATATAAGCTTGAAAGTACATAATATTTTTGTGATATTCATAATTACTGCAAGTCAAATGACCAGGCATCCTTGAAGCCCAAACACTTGAACATAATATTTCATTATATTCAAGACTATTTTAAGTATAAATGTTTAGAGGATTATTACATCTAGCCAATTTCAATACTTTACCACTACCGGTACTTTATTTTTTATGTTAACTGAACTTTAACAGGATTTATATGTCACTTAGATAAAAGTATTATCTGTGTTTACATTATAAAGACAGAAAAGTAAAGGTAAAAACTGCACACAAGAAAAAAGAAAAAGAATGAAATAAATAAGTAAAAAAATATAAAGCGAGGTGCAATGGTGAGGGCTGTATTCCTGTTTGATTCAAAGTGGCTTGAATGAAGAAAGAAAAAAAATGACAAAAAATAGAATCTAGAAAATAAAATGAATCACATTAAAAACAACATCAATGAAAAAGCATTCATTTGTGGTGCACATCACCAAACCTAATGTGTGTGTATATATGAACAACTGACAAACAAAGTTGCACATTATAAATGAATTACACTAGATTCAAACACAAAAATTTGAAGAATACTGTACAAAGTAGGCAGCATTGTTATCAACTTGGAAATCAATGAAAAAAGAGATATCCTCTGTTGAGAACCAATAGGCATTAACTTTATACATGTATGTGCATCAGGGATACCAGTTGGGTTTCTCCAGATGAGCCTGAAAAGAGACCCAGACATATTGGAGCCTCATATGTTTAATATGTACAATATGAAGCCTGATAAAGCCTGAAATGGAAAGGTGTCAGGGCCTGAAATCGGGCTATAGCCTGAAAACTGGCATCCCTGATGCATGTACATCAAAAAATTTGAGTTGTATGCTCCTCATGCTCTGCATAGACGATGCTTGTTTCCTGCCCTGCTCTCCCAATTGCCTGCCCCAGCCACTTTCCTCTCTCTGTGCAAAAACTCACTAAACACTGCTACCTGTAAAGCCAACTCTTAAACATGCCCTGGAAATGTGATACTCTTGGCCAAGAATCAAAATCAAAAGTTCACAGTCCCTTTACATTCAAGTTTGCTGGTTTCTAACAGGAAACAATAAATGCAGTAAATTAAATAAACTAATGAACTTGCTTGAAATAAAATTCACTATGTTTCTTCATTCCCCTCATCAAGTTTGGCTTGGTTGTATATGATATTATATTCTCTGCTATCATACAAGAACAACAACTCAAGATTATTGTTGATTCCATGTGTACATGTATCTCTAGAGTGACTACACATAGGACTAGACTCGATCATCCCGTGTACTAACCACAGCTTTTAGAGAGCAATCAATCGCAGCCACATCTTGCACTGATAATACCCCTCAACCAAGGCATTCTGCATTACAAACTCGACACCAAGAAAACAAAAAAAACAAAATCAGTAGTAAGGAATGGAGATAAGCAACAACACGTGCATCAACGCCAATGCAGTGCAGTGTCTACGATATATACCACAAAATAGAAGCGTTGATGTGTGGAATGGAAAATATGAGATATCATACACACTCCAGCTCATTTCTAAAAAGGAGAAAAGGAGGGGTGGGGGGGGGGGGGCTGAACTGCAACATAAAGGTTACAAGGTATACTTACGTATTTGATTCCTCATACCCTTGGTAGTGTGATTGGTCATAGCCTCTTTCATACTGGAATAAAGGTCAAATGTTAAAGGTCAAAAGTTAAAGGTCAAATGTCAAATGTTAAAGACCAAATTTGTACTAAGAAATGAAATGGATGAATCATATGTCAACGGAAAGCTTATAATGCACTTGTCATTTGTAAGACGCACCTCTTGACCCCCGGGAATGGTGCGTCATTGTACCGATGTGAGTCGTACATTTTGATACCATGACGCACCTTCCGTCACAGAAAGTGACACACCATTACATTCCATCGACGCACATTTGAGTCAAACATATGACACACCATTTCATGAAAATGACTAGCCAATGACGCACATTTGAGAAACACTTCTGCTTGGAGAAAGTGACGGTCCCATTGACACACCAAATGACGCAACGTGGTAAAGTGACTTACTATGACGCACATATGGGTCAGTATTGTGACGGACATATGCGGCCATGACGGTACTGTGCGTCGCGATTTTGGGGAACATGACGCAACCATGACGCACCATCCCCGGGGGTCAAAAGGTGCGTCTTACAAATGACACCTGCATAAGCCATAGATTACAATAATATTGATTATATGCCATTTTAGTGTCTGTCAGAGGAGTATCAGCTCTCTGAAAACTCACAATCTAAAGCTTTGAAAATCGGGAGATGTCGACCTAAAAACTTGCCATCGACTTGATGACATCATCTTATGTGGAGTACGCATTTTCACAATGACTTTGCATTAATTAAGCACGGCTTATCGCCTCAGCCAAATAGGTGAATCAATCGGGTCCACATGTTATGTCGTCACTGTAACTTCGGCAAATTTGACCCCGTTGACTCGTAATTTGGAGAGGTTCAGAAAATGAGGTTTTAAGTTGCTTTTGTTTAATATAAATAAAGGGTAAATAATTTTTATTCCTTAATATTTGTATTCTACATTCATTAAGTTTTCCACTTAAATCAAGTTGTATTTTCATCAGACAAGGTCTTCATTAACATCCAAGACTTTACAGAAATTTATAAGGTGACATTTCAAGCCAATCCTGCATATGCATGAAAGGCCATGTGTTATAGTAATTCCCAGTTCAAATTCATGTTTTGTTTTGTTTTAAATAAAAACTGAAGGCCTAAGGTACAGTACACTGAACTTGTAACCAACTGACGATAAAATCTTCCCAATTTCCCTTGGCTGAATACAGGAATTATCTTTTGTTTTTGGTTAGTAAAAATGAATCTGCCCACCCCAAAGCAGCCCCTCCCCCACCAGTGAACAGGGTCATAATACTGTACATAAGCACTTTGGTCACTTACTGTAAAAAGGCATCGTTTAAAAATGTTAAATCTGAGATGTATGGCCCTACGTGAAACCAGTGTCTGTGATATGGTGTAATATTGAAGCCCTTAAAAATGCGCTTCAAAATGATCATGAAGTGTCTCAAAAAAGTAAAAAATCTTTGAGGGACCGGTTTTACTATACTCATTTCCCCCAATAGACTATAGTGTTATGAAAACCGTTAGGAAAACGAAAAATAAAATTTCGATTTCCAATCATAAATATCTTGATAATCAGACAGGCTATCGGCTTGTAAAAGCCATTGGATTCCTGACTTGCCTAAAGGTTTATAATTATAATTGCAGTATGAGCTAAATCTAGGATTTTGTTTAGAATCTGAGGCAATGTTACTGAGTCACTTTAACTGGTAAGACACTACATGATCAACATGTGCAATCATTGAAGCATTGAAATGAATGCGAGTACCTCTCATACTCACATAGTCATCAGCACCTTCCATTTGTTGTGAATGTGATCCATATGAGGGTGCACTCATCCGGGGCCCGCCTGCCCCGCCCCTGTACCCTGCTCTTGACATCCCTCTGGAGCTGCCACTTGATAGTGACCCCCTCTGGGTCATGCCGCCACCTCTAGACATGCCACGCCCTGGTGGGCTACCCATCCTGTAACAGAATCAATAATGTATTAATTATAGTTATAAGATGATGAAGTGGATCCTAATCAAATGATCGGTTGAGAGCGTACACATGACCATATATTTATTTTGCCTAACACTCCATTTTACTAATGACCAGTCATTAGTAAAATACTGTTATAAAACATCATTTTATAAAACAAATAAAACATCATTTTATAAAACAAATAAAACATCATCTTATAAAACAAATAATACACATCATTTTGTTCGGGCATTAGTAAAATGACCCACACTTGGCACCTTCGAAACAGTCCAAACTGTGTTAGACTGTTCAAAAGGTACCTTGTGTGGGTAATTTTATGAATGCCCTCACTGCTGTGTATTATTTGTATATTACTAAGCAGCAAAAGTCAGAATTTAAGAGTTGATGGTGACAGGCCTCCTAAATACTCTACACAGCCACCACAAATTTGAACAAAATGTTACCATAAAAAGTAGCGCTCACAAAAACAAAACAAAAAAAAGTATATGCATTGTTCAAACCTGCATCTGAAAAGTCAAGAAGAGTCCAGTAAAACAAAAATTAGTGATATACTCTTTGAATTATTTTCAAAAATAGTTAACCTTTCTGAAATGCAAGAGGTTTGCTGCTGACGTTTTGAGGTTTAACATGAGAGGATGTTTTTACTCAAGAAAATATTTCAAAAATTATGTAAGCATACACAATTTCAGTCATGACCATGATCAAATTTTGTTTTAATTGAAGAATAACATGAAGTATTTTGAAAAATCAGTTCCATACATTGATTTTGGTGTTGCAAAAATCAACTACCCTGCATGCGCTTGGAAGTTTTCAGTGTACATAGTCCCACACAATGATTTTTTTGCGGTTGTAAAAGTAACTTACCTGGCTGGACTGGGCATGTGTCCTGTGGGTCTGACGGCATGTGGATGATGTCCCATCCCCCTCATGGGTGGGGGGCCACCACCCCATCCCACTCGACCCATGCCTGAGGGTCTAACACCACCACCACCCCTTGGTCCACCCCTGGGACCGGGGGCATTGGGAGGGGGACCGGTGAAGGAACCACTGATGACGGCAAGTTCTCTCAGCTGCTCTTGGCGTATGGTGTCGTTGGGATCCTACAATTCGAAAAACACAAAAACAAATAGAAACAAAATAAAATAAAAGTGTTCGTTTACGACCACTGCTGTAAAATTCCACATCAGAATTTCACCAATGACCTTGATGTTTCATCTTTTAATAGGCCTGTCTTCATCAGCTCGAGACAGGGCTCGAATTACCCACCGGCAATCGGCAATTTGCCGCCATGCCCCTCTCACTGGCCGGAATGCCCTTTTCAAAATCAAATCGTTTACGGCCACAATATTTTAATCCACAAAAGTTTTGCCGACATTATAGTCATCGTAAGCCAACCCGACTTGTAATGTTCAAAAAGGTTTTGTTGCCCATACGGAGCTTTAAAAACAATGATAGTCGGCAAGGTTTTGTTGCCCCTCCGGAGCTCTAAAAACAATGATAGTCGGCAAGGTTTTGTTGCCCCTCCGAGGCTCTAAAAACAATGATTTTTCGGCAAGGTTTTGTTGCCCCTCCGGAGCTCTAAAAACAATAATTATCGGCAAGGTTTAGTTGCCCCTACGGACCTCTAAAAACAATAATAATCGGCAAGGTTTTGTTGCCCCTCTGGAGCTCTTAAAACAATAATTACCGGAAGGTTGTGTTGCCCCTCCGGAGTTCTAAAACAATAATAATCGGCAAGGTTTTGTTGCCCCTCCGGAGCTCTAAAAACAATAATAGTCGGCAAGGTTTTGTTGCCCCTCCGAGGCTCTAAAAACGATATTTATCGGAAGGTTTTGTTGCCCCTACGGAGTTCTAAAAACAATAATAATCGGCAAGGTTTTGTTGCCCCTCCGGAGCTCTAAAAACAATAATAGTCGGCAAGGTTTTGTTGCCCCTCCGGAGCTCTAAAAACAATATTTATCGGAAGGTTTTGTTGCCCCTCCGGAGCTCTAAAAACAATAATTACCGGAAGGTTTTGTTGCCCCTCCGGAGCTCTAAAAAACAATGATAGTCGGCAAGGTTTTGTTGCCCCTCCGAGGCTCTAAAAACAATAATTATCGGAAGGTTTTGTTGCCCCTCCGGAGCTCTAAAAACAATAATTACCGGAAGGTTTTGTTGCCCCTCCGGAGCTCTAAAAACAATGATAGTCGGCAAGGTTTTGTTGCCCCTCCGAGGCTCTAAAAACAATAATTTTCGGAAGGTTTTGTTGCCCCTCCGGAGCTCTAAAAACAATAATTACCGGAAGGTTTTGTTGCCCCTCCGGAGCTCTAAAAACAATGATAAGTCGGCAAGGTTTTGTTGCCCCTCCGAGGCTCTAAAAACAATAATTATCGGAAGGTTTTGTTGCCCCTCCGGAGCTCTAAAAACAATAATTACCGGAAGGTTTTGTAGCCCCTCCGGAGCTCTAAAAACAATGATAGTCGGCAAGGTTTTGTTGCCCCTCCGATGCTCTAAAAACAATAATAGTCGGCAAGGTTTTGTTGCCCCTCCGAGGCTCTAATAACAATAATAGTCGGCAAGGTTTTGTTGCCCCTCCGGAGCTCTAAAAACAATATTTATCGGCAAGGTTTTGTTGCCCCTCCGGAGCTCTAAAAACAATAATTACCGGAAGGTTTTGTTGCCCCTACGGAGCTCTAAAAACAATGATAGTCGGCAAGGTTTTGTTGCCCCTCCGAGGCTTTAAAAACAATAATTATCGGAAGGTTTTGTTGCCCCTCCGGAGCTCTAAAAACAATAATTACCGGAAGGTTTTGTAGCCCCTCCGGAGCTCTAAAAACAATGATAGTCGGCAAGGTTTTGTTGCCCCTCCGATGCTCTAAAAACAATAATAGTCGGCAAGGTTTTGTTGCCCCTCCGAGGCTCTAATAACAATAATAGTCGGCAAGGTTTTGTTGCCCCTCCGGAGCTCTAAAAACAATATTTATCGGCAAGGTTTTGTTGCCCCTCCGGAGCTCTAAAAACAATAATTACCGGAAGGTTTTGTTGCCCCTACGGAGCTCTAAAAACAATGATAGTCGGCAAGGTTTTGTTGCCCCTCCGAGGCTCTAAAAACAATAATTATCGGAAGGTTTTGTTGCCCCTCCGGAGCTCTAAAAACAACAATTACCGGAAGGTTTTGTTGCCCCTCCGGAGCTCTAAAAACAATAATAGTCGGCAAGGTTTTGTTGCCCCTCCGAGGCTCTAAAAACAATAATTATTGGAAGGTTTTGTTGCCCCTCCGGAGCTCTAAAAACAATAATAGTCGGCAAGGTTTTGTTGCCCCTCCGGAGCTCTAAAAACAATATTTATCGGCAAGGTTTTGTTGCCCCTCCGGAGCTCTAAAAACAATAATTACCGGAAGGTTTTGTTGCCCCTACGGAGCTCTAAAAACAATGATAGTCGGCAAGGTTTTGTTGCCCCTCCGGAGCTCTAAAAACAACAATTACCGGAAGGTTTTGTTGCCCCTCCGGAGCTCTAAAAACAATAATAGTCGGCAAGGTTTTGTTGCCCCTCCAGAGCTCTAAAAACAATATTTATCGGCAAGGTTTTGTTGCCCCTCCGGAGCTCTAAAAACAATAATAGTCGGCAAGGTTTTGTTGCCCCTCCGGAGCTCTAAAAACAATATTTATCGGCAAGGTTTTGTTGCCCCTCCGGAGCTCTAAAAACAACAATTACCGGAAAGTTTTGTTGCCCCTCCGGAGCTCTAAAAACAATAATAATCGGCAAGACTTTGTTGCCCCTACGGAGATCTAAAACAATAATTATTGGCGAGACTTAATTTCCACTATGGAACTCCTAAATTAATTGGCGGGACTTAATTGCTTACGGAGATATGAAAGAATGTCTTCATCCAAATGACTGAAACGTTTGGCACAAAAACCGTAATGACTCAGGCTTAGTTTTTCAATCCATCCTTTTTATTTGAACCAATCAATATCAGGAAGTTTTGTTTACCCATCGTTGGTTCAACATCTTAACTTCGCGTTGTGACCTTTTTTGGTGCGTTTTCACAGTTTTTAATCAGTGAAAAACTTGGATTTTTCTCGGGAGGAGGGTCTGGAATTAAATCAGAAAAGGATTAAGAGTCGAGATAATGGTACAAAGAATCGTCTTCTTTACCATACGTTTTAATTAAAACGTCATAGCTTCCGCCCATCGCGCGGGAGGGGTGTGAATTGAGTTCAGAAAAGGATAATACCGGTAGTCGAGATCGAGACGAATCGTCTTCTTTCCCTAATAATTTATTAAAAACGTCTAAGCTTCTGCGCTTCCCTTGGAATTCAGAAAAGGTTAAAGAGTCAAGAACGGTACAACGAATCATCTTCTTTCTCTAATAATTCAATGAAACGTCAAAGGGGGAAACTCCCCCCCCCCCCTCCAGCTCCCCCCCCCCCCCCAATTTTTTTTTGAAAAGCATTTTAAAGAGAAATAGAAAGAAAGAGAGCAAGAAAGAAAAAATAGTTAACTACCAGTTTCTCAACAAAATAAGGTATCAAAAATTGCTCATCTGATCGTAATTAAACGCCTAAAACCCCTGAGCTTCCGTGGGCTCTGCCCCCGGGACCCAACCAAGGGCCCTTTGGCAGGCCTCTTGATACTCATCTGACGGTAATGTAATGCTTTAAACCCATGGGCTTCTGGGGGCTCCGCCCGCGGGACCTCACGCCAATCAGTATCCTGCCAGTGTCACAAATAAGGTATAAAAATATGTTCATCTGACCGTAATCAAATACCTGAAACCCCTGAAATTCAGGGTTTCCGCACCCTAGACTCCACCAGGGGCCCTGAGGCGGGCCCCTGAATGCTTATCTGACCATAATTTGCCTTCAACCCATGAGTTTCCGGGGTCGAACAAGGTATCAAAAGATGTTCATCTGACCGCAGGCACGTAGCCGGGGGCCAAAAAAAAAAAGCCAAAAAAAAAAGAGGAGAGAAAAGGAAGAGGACGTATGAAGAAAAAGGAGCAGGCAAAAAACATTTTTTTGAAATTCAGACAAGGATTAAGAGTCGAGAACGGTACAACGAATCGTCACAAACTAGGCATTGTGGCGTGCGCCTGTAATCCAGCCAACAGTGGAAGTTACAAACTGATTCAGCCGAGAACGCAGGTTCGAAACTGAGTCACGTCTTTCGTATGGTGACGTTAAAAGTCGGTCCCCAGACGTAAATAATCATACACATGTATCTGATTGATACACGTCTGTATAAAAACCCAAATACACACACACACACGAATCGTCTTCTTTCTCTAATGATTTAATGAAACATAAAAGCTTCCGCGCTTTGCGCGGGAAGGGGAAAACTGTATTCATGCAGGCGAGGATTATTTTCGGGAACGGTACAACAAATCGTCTTGTTTCTCTAATAATTAAATTAAATGTCAAAGTTTCCGCGCTTCGATCGCGCAGGAGGTGGGGTAACTGAATTTAGACAAGGATTAAGAGTCGAGAACGATACAACGAATTGTCTTCTTTTTGTAATGATTTAATAAAACGTAAAAGCTTTTGCGCTTTGCGCGCGCGGATGGGGGGGGAACTGAATTCAGACGAGGATTAAGAGTCGAGAACGGGACAACGAATCGTCTTCTTTCTCTAATGATTTAATGAAACGTAAAAGCTTCAGAGCTTTGCGGGGGAGGGGGGGGGGGATGAATTTAGATGAGGATTAAGAGTAAAAAACGGTACAACGAATCCTCTTCTTTCTCTAATGATTTAATGAAACGTAAAAGCTTCCGCGCTTTGCGCGGAGGGAGGGGAACTGTATTCAGACGAGCAGGCACGTACGCAGGGGGGGGGGGTTTGGGGCGTTAAATCCCCCCTTCGGTTTTTTTTATGTCTGTATTTTGGAGCAAACCCCCCCCCCCCTTTTTTTTTTAAATGAAACACACACACAAAAAAAAATTATGCCAATGGCTGATATAAGAAAGGTTACCTCACCCCCCCCCCACCCCTCCCCCCCACCCCAAAGGGAACAAAATGTCAAATTTTCAAATTTCGAGACCAAAAAACAAAAAAAAGTGTCCTCTTACCCCCCCCCCCCCCCCCCCCCCCCCCCCCCCCCCCCCCGCTTATTCAGCGGCTGGCTGAGTCGTTGCGATTTTTTTTTTGGGACAAAAAAAAAAAGTGGGCCCCCCCCCCCCAAGGAAGAAATCCTGGATCCGCCCCGGGGGGCACATATCCCCCCCCCCCACCTTGAAAACAACGGCGTAAGGTAATTTTACGCGCACTTTCCACGTTGGCCTTAGTGCCCCTTAGGATAGATTTGTGCCCCTTTCAGTGGATTTGTGCCCTCTCAAAAAAGTGGCCTTGACCCAAATTTGATGTAATTCGAGGCCTGTCGAGATTGCCAAATAGTCCGCTATTTCTGATTAGGGAAATAATCCTGAAATTACAAATCGCTTCTTCATCAGCTTGAAACTTGACCTCGAAATTTGAAACTCTAGCTTGAGGCATTTTGCTCAGCTTTCGCGCATAGTGCGAGTCTTCGGGGTAGTGAAGATGCACCGGGCAAATAGCCGGATATTTTGCAAACTAGCCCAAGTTATCTTGCGATCAGGATAGTTCAAATAGCAGTATATTTCACAATCTTGAGCTGATAAAGACAGGCCTAAAGAGTACCTTAAGGTTGTTCATTCATCAAGGTAAAAAAAAAAGCGAGGACACATATCCGAAGATTGTTTCAATGGATATTTGGTCTTAATCCCATAATCAGACAGAAAATGAAAATTCAAAACTTACGATAAATATTAATTCTTTGTGAGCCCTTCCCTGCCATTAGTAGCAAATCCGATCCCAGAATTTCAACAATGAACTGGATGTTTCAGCAAAGAAATGCATTTAGTTTTTGTTTTTTTCTTTGTTTTATTGATTTTAAGAAGTAAAAGATACAGTCAACCCTGTCTATAGTGACCGCCCAAGGGAAAGACAAAAAGTGGTCTTTGTAGACAGGTGCCTTTTGTACATGTTTCAATGAGAAACAATTATCAAGGGAAACAAAAAATTGTGGTCTTTCTAGATAGGTGGTCACTAAAGCAGGTTTAACTGTATAATGCAATAATGAAATACAATGATCATATACAAGAGAATCATGAAAAGACCAAAGTATATTTAAGTTGTATGTTTCCTTGGGTGAATTTTCAGCCTAATCCAACACCTAAACAAAGAATGAGAATTGGACATTTAAACACTCAAGCCAGTGGCTGAACTTTATGAGCAAATTCATGAAATTTGTTTGAAAACTTTCCCCAACATGACGACAAGAAATTAATCAAGTTTCATTTGAATCCCTTTTACATGTTCGGAAATCTCCTTTACCTATACAAAAAAAAATTGTAAGATAAATACGGGAGCTAGTTATTTCTGTACTTGTTTCTGCAATGCTGTCTGCTAAGCCGTGGTAGACCATCAAAGTTTTATTCTGTCTTTGTTATTACAAGGACCCTGTCTTATAAAGAGTTTATATAAATCGCAACTTATTTGCAATTAATACCAATCACAACTATGTACAAAGGAGATTGCAAACTTGTGACTGAGATGGATCAGTCGTAACTCTTTATAAATGGGGCCCTAAACTTACTTTTCACATGTACACTTTAAAGATATTTTTTTCTTGTTCTTCTTTCTTTGCTAGATACTCACTGGAACAAGGTATTTCTGTACTTCTGCAATGCTGTGTGCTAATCTATGGTAGGCCTCCGTGGGTGACCCTACAAGTTCGATCTGGACATGAAGATCGTCGGTGAGATGTGCATATTTTTGGTTGCTTTCTTCTCTCAGTTTGTCTTCCTGCAGTAGTGAACAAGAGTTGAGAAGGCATGAAATTAGTTGCAACAGCTCTACTTCTTAACAAATTGTCATTCATTCTATTTATTCTTCCTTAGTTGAGATGAACATATTTTTAGTTGCTTACTTCTCTCATTCTGTCTATCTACAATAGTGACAAGAGTTGAGAAGGCATGAAATCATGTGCAAAAGCTCTACTTCTTAACTTATAATCATTCATTCTATTTTGTTTTCTTTAGTTGAGATGAACATATTTTTGGGTTGCTTTCTTCTCTGTTTTTTTTCCTACAGTATTGACAAGAGTTGAAGGGTGTGATATCATTTGCAACAGCTCTACTTCTTAACCAGTCATCATTCAATCTATTTTTTCTTCTTTAATTGAGATCAACATACTTTTGATTGTTTTCTACAACAGCTCTACTTCTTAACAAATTATCATTCTTTCAATTATTTTTTCTTTAGTTGAGATGTGCATATTTTTAGTTGCTTTCTTCTAGTTACTTTCTTCTCTCCATTAATCCTGGATTTCCCTGAAGTACAATACCTACAATGTATTATCCAGGGATGCCAGTTATAATTGATCAGAGGGCCTGAAAATCACCTAGAATGAGCTATTTTGTACACAAAAAAGCTTAAACTATGGTCTGGAAATAACTCGCCAGGGCCTGAATTCAGGTTATTGCCTGAAAACTGGCATCCCTGCTTATCGTTTAGATGCTTCAATAAAAGGCCCACACCTACCTTCTGTTTGTCTCTCATGGAGCCTTTACCTAAGATTGCTATCTTTGTACCCGTTATCTCCTGCAGTCTCTTCAATGAATTCCCTCTCGGCCCAAGCAATTTACCTACAAAATTAAACTGTCAGAGAACAAAAATAACATAGTTATTAAGCAATGAAATGCTGTAATCATATAGAAATTTACCAACAGAAAGAAAATGTGAAATAAGAGAAATAATGTTGCGACTTACCAAAATAAAAATTGATAGGATAAAAAAGAAAAAATGCAGTAACATGAGCAATTTAAAAACAACCATTAAACTTTGTTCAGAACAAAAAAATTTACTTTACCTACACTCAGAATAAATAAACATTTGAAACGTAGGAACCTAAATTCCAAAGAATAAATGACTAGAAGTTGGTTAGTTTACAAAGAGTACCAAATTGTGGCCAGTCAGTTTCGTTCATGATTTTGACTAATAAATGAGGAAAATTTGGAAGGACCAACCTTCGGATGCTCTTTAACAGGAATTAGAATCTTGACACGCAGTCTAATCGGCGCCGATGAGCTGACGTCGATCAATTTTGGATTAGTTTTGGGTTTATCTCCTCCACCATCTGCAGCATTCTCTTTTCTTTCTCCTCCATTCTCCACTCGCGTGATTTCTGAGGAGGGGGGGGGGGGGGGAGGAATAAAGAGGATTACTGTTGCATGTTGTCTGTTGATGAATCTAGTTGGATTTATCTTTTAAAGGTAAAGACCAGTATTGGAAACGCCCAAAAAATGAAATGGAAGCTCTTATTACGAATCATGTGAAAGAATATGTTTTGAATAATACATAGGTCTAATGATAAAAATGTTGATGGGAAACCCCCTACTAATTGATATATTTGGTAAATTAGTGTATCTCTCGCCTGTTGAGAGATACAAATGCACGTGTCGCGCACGTGCGTGTAGTCCCATATACATCTTTCTGTGTACAGTGATTCTAACTTTATGAAGACTTGGCCAAATTTCTTATCATTTTGATGATTCCAGAACCTTGTAGTACATCTATGCTAGATGATCAACCTTTTCTAGGCAAATTCATGCAAAAAAATATATTAAAAAAATTGACTTGAAAACACATCAGACAATTAGTCTGAACCGAGTCAGGAGCAAATTTGAAGAAATTATATTTTTAAATGTTGTAAAACCAAAGATATAAGAAGAAAACTGACCAAGTATCTGTACTAAAAATCGTACATGTAAAATTGGTCGTATACATTCGACAGCTGAAAATGACGCGCACGGTTGCATTACGTGCGTTCTCGAATCCAAAATCATACTTCACACACACACTCTCGCCATACCGCGAATGGTCCTTCGTGGGGAGCTAGCCGGCTGAGAGTTTGCAGCGATACCAACGCAGCTTCGGAGCTCCGCAGAGCGCCATTTTAGCGGGACTCGGAAGGGTTCGCGTGGGAAGGCAGCGGCCTAGCTTTTTGCCCAAACAACGCTAGATCGGCTGCTGGCAAAATGAAAATAACTAAGATCGAGAACATCGTCGGTTTCTTAACTTTTCAGTGAGATAATTCTGAATTCTAATTGAGACTATATAATCAATTGAATCGACAAAGAAACCTCGGTAGAAACTCTTATAACTATACAAAAGCTTGTTTATTTCTTCATTTGACATTTTGTTTTCGACCATTTTTTCGTGCGCGAGTCAATGCAAACTATGTATTACCAAACTTTCAACACGCAAGGAACGGGGAACACTCGCAGACCTCGTATCAAATTCGTTGCAAAAAAAAAATTCAAGTGTGATTTTGAAGCAGTGTAGAATATTGGCGCTGCAATGCGCAGAAATATACTTGAAAGAAACTTAATAAATCATACCTGAATTTTCAGAAAATCGTATTTGTATTAGTGTACCTAGATGTGACTTGTTTATAACTCAGTTTTTATGAAGATTTGTCGGGAAAAAATGTCAATTTTTTCCGTTTGGTGGTCATTTCTAGGCTAATATTTAAAAAGTTACTTCAGTAATGGGCCCGATGTTTCTCTTATCACACTCGCATGTTATTTCTACATAGATTAAACATAGAATGGTTAAGGGTAAGACCGGATAACATTATAAAAAAGATATATCCTTCCAACCTCCCATATCCAAGTTTTGGGCTGATTATTGCCCATATCCAAGTTTTGGGCTGATTATTGCCGACCCACCGCAGCAAGGCCATTCAGATTGTCGTACGCGAGCAAAGCGCCCTCTAGTGCCCCATGAATGTGCCTACCTTTTCTAGAGTAAAGGAGCAGGTAATCGGCCAGCTCCAGTTTTCGGCCGATTGGTTGGATGCAAGGTGAAATCACTCTAAAATACATCGCATAATAGCATAACACATATCCCACTCATACCATACCATGCCAGTGTCACTGAAGAACCACATTTGCAATGAAAAATATATCCTAAAATATCACATTTTAGCGATGTAATCGGCGGTCCCGCTACCCGAATCTGAAAAATCGAGTATCTTACGCGTGTATGTAAGAAATATGGGTACCATAAAATCAGCTTTATTTCAAGTATTGTTCAGATTTAGAGCCCGATTTTGTGTTAGTCGCAAGCTCAAAAGTATCTCATCGCATGTATTAAATCAATGCAGCCGGACCCTGCCACGCACACACGATATGTCTGTCTAATTCAGATTCCAACTTCCGATCACCGCTGTGCCTGTCTTCGGCCAGGCGAGCACCAGGGAGCTCCGGCGTGGGATACCTGCTCCGCCCGCTTGTGCTGTACATCAGCGCGGAAACGCACGGCGCGCGCGAGCGCTTCCTATTGACTTTGTACATGCGGCCGTAAACTGAAACGCTCGGCCGATAACTGGCTCCAAAACAGTGAAAATTGAAATGAATATTGTCATGGCAATTCGTGATTTTTTTTTCTGGGATTCTTTTTTTGTTTAAATAATAATAATATTTGCTTCATGATTTGAACAAAAAATGATAATAAATAGGAAGTAAAGGGTCCTAAAAATAGGATTTTGTCTTAAGTGGCCGAAAACGGGCTCCTTTAGTTTCACAATGTTTCTTTCACAATGCAATCGCATGACCATAACTCATTTCTTTAGCTTTAAACAGGATAACTTGATAAAAGACAGTGATTAGTAGGGGCACTGGTACGAGAATAAGGATCGTCCGCATAAACGAGGGTATCCTCGTAAACCTGGACAAATCGCGCACTAAAATATAAGGATCATCCACATTTTCGCGGACGTCCTTTTTCTTCTTCGCTCTGCGGGTGTAGGGTTCCCAATCCGCGCGCTGGCAATGCAAAAAATGGATTCCGCTTATTAAAATACCCCCAGTTCACCGTCTACTTTTACGGGTTGGCCGTCTTCCCAAGGATTTATCGCTCTTAACATGAAAGTCTCTGTTGAGTCTAACTGTTACAATACAAAATCAATGTGAAATGCATCAAGAAAATTATTGTGGAATCTGTTTTTTGCATGGCAAGTTTTGAACCTCTTTAAAAAATTTAATCTTAAATACTCGGTCATAAGATCAAATAATCCAAGGACTTTTATTCATGAATAAACATATACTATTTCTTGACTTATATAAACTGTTCTATTAGTTCACTGACCGGATATATCACAACTTTTCCCCTCCGTTTAGAGTTCATCGGAATAACATAAATATGACTGAGCTGAGATTGAGAAAGGGGATCTGACATTTCTAACGAAGAAATTTACCTTCTGTTAAAAGTCGTGTGGCATGTACAAATGACGCATCTAAACAGTCCCTCTCAGCCATTAGTTCCTTAAGAGTTTCATTTTCTTCTAATTTGGCGTCCATGCCTTCCATTTTGAGAGAAAAAGGTGTGATTAGTGGTGAATTTTCGCGGTTGCCGCACGAATATTACCCTGGACGGCAGGCTCGTTCACTTTTACTATAATTAATAAAAATTGATATAATTTAAAACAATTATCAATCAACTTGAAAATGATTATCAAGCCTGTATATTTCAAATTAAAATAAAATATTATATTTAGATGCTTATAGGTATATTATATTGTTGTGAATTTAACTTCTACACAATATAAGAGAAATGCTAGATTGGCAACGTCAAGATCAGACAGCCATCCGTTTTGAAGTATTGTTACTTGTCACATTAAAATCACCCGACCGATTGCATTGCGGTACAGTGCACATCTTTGTCTACACTAAAATCGGATAACAAGGAAGTTATGAATTTTGAAAAAAATATGAAAAACTATGGACAATGGAGATCACTACACCACAAAATGCCAAGTTGGTTATCAGTCTGTGACGTCATTGCCTCACTATTCATCAAAATAATTTATATATTTTGTTATCCCACAGCATTAATTTTTCCCTTTTTATCCCCCAAAACTTGATTTTCCCATGCCTTTGACAATGTTATGTTGCATGCATGACATTTCACAAAATCGTTTATGAACTTTGAAGCCTATAGAGGCAGGGCGGATCTAGGGGCACAGGGAGCACGTGCCCCCCCCCCCCCCCCAACAAAAAAAAAAATAATAATAATAATGATTAGTGCTCACTAATTTTTCTGCTTCTATTGAAAGTAAATAATAATTGGAATGGACTTGCCCTTTAATACGCACAAAAATATGCAGTTCGATTTCGACGAGGGAAGTTTTCCGGGGGTGATTGGATTGTCCTAGAACCCCCTTGGACGGATCTAGAATTTTCAGAATCCGGGGATTTCGATTACGAGCAAGCAAAAATTATAGTAAATTGTGAGGTCGCAGTGCGAAAAAAAAAAAAATCTTAAAAGAGGGGGGATCCCGATTGGATACTTTCAGATGCACAATCTAATCATGAAAGACTGAAAATACTGAAAAGACCTTTTATAACTAACATAATCAAACTATAAATGCGAGCGAGGGTAGCAAGAGAGCTTTATAATAATAATAATAATAATAAAAACGTTACTTATAAAGCGCTTACCACCGAAGTCTCTAAGCGCTATACACACAAAATAGACTGATATACAAAACTAAAATGCAAATAAACATACAAATTACAATACATAATGGAATACACATCAAAGTGAACAGAGTTAATTAATCATCGAACGCAATTTTGAATAAATGTGTCGTGAGACTAGTTGAATAGGTTAACGGTTTAACAGTTTTTTTTACATTTAAAGGTAATCTGTTCCAAAGTTCGGCAGAAGCTTTGCGAAAGGAGCGATTTCTATGAGAAAGAGTTGACACAGAAGTAGATACGAGGTTTAATTGTGAAGATGAACGTAAACTACGTGAGGGTTTATATTACTCGATTAATTCTTGTAGATAAATTGGTGCCAATTCATGAATGCATTTAGGGAATTAGGTTGCACTGAGTTGGTTTAGAGGCGCATGTGATGGAGTGAGGAAAGGGGGCACTTATCTGAAGGGGAAATGATACTTATTAGAAGGGGAAAAGGAGCGCTTGTCAAAGTAGGGCAGTTACTAGATGGTAAAAAGCATAAGAGAATGGAAAAGGGACATCTGTCGAAGGAAAAGTTAAACCTGTCAGATTTTAATAGATGCATTTATCAGAGGTGAACATGAGCATTTATGAATAAGGGAACGAGCTCATATAATGGAAAGTGGGCACTTATCAGTAGGAGTAGGAAAATTATTAGAAAGGAAAAATGGCACTTGTCAAAGTAAAAGGAGTAATTATCAGAGGTTAAAATAGGCACCCACCAGAAATGAAAAGGGGCATTTATGAGAATGGGAAAGGGGCACTTCTAAAGGGGAAATTTTCGATGAAAAATGGGCACTTATCTTATTTGAACAGGGCAAATATTAAAGGTAAGGGGCCACGGCACTAATGTCCTCTGGCAAGACATCAATCTACATTTGCCACACCCGACCCAGGTGATGCAAATGGGTACCTATAGCAGGAATTAATTCCTTGAAATGCTAGAGCGCCGTAATGGCACCCATGCTTATTAGCCGGGGTAATATTGCGGAGCGCCAGGAGTGTCAAGTATGACTATTATGAGCGCTATACAAGAACCCACTATTATTATGAAAATAAATGGAGGAACTATAACAACAAAAAAAAGGACACTCATCAATGATGAAAAGGAGCACTTATCAGTAGAGGAAGAGGACATTATTACAAAAGGGGGCACTTATCAAAGTAAAACGGGCACCTCTCAGATTTGAATAGGGGCAATTATCAGAGGTAGGCCTATAAGGTGGGCACTTAACAAGAATGAAAGTGGGGCACTTCTTGTACCTGAAAAGGGCACTTATCAGTTACCAGAGATGAAAAGCTAGGCACTTATAAGAATGGAAAAGTGACACTTATTGCAAATGAAAGGGGGCACTTCTCGAAGGATAGGGGGTATTTATCAACTGTGAAAAGGTGCATTTCCCCAAAAAAGTAGAATTCAAAGACGTATATCAGCCGCTCTCTCCCAACATGAACTGCAACTTTTAACTACTCTATAAGGAAAGCAGTAGACCAGGAAAGCCAGAGAAGGAGAATGATTAAAGTCTTGCAAAAATATAAAAGTTGTTAATTTTTGTTCCCTATTCGTAAAGGTATACAATTAATTTTGGACCCATCATGTGACATAATAGTGCCGGCCGGCTCTCCCATTTTGTTTCAATATTATAGTACACTAAAAATAATGATGAAATATCATTTTCCTTCCCAAAACGTATATTGAGTTATTAATGAATTTTAGAGAACTTATAATAAAATGCTATCCATAATGCATATTTTGAGTAGTGCCCCAAGAAAGTATTAGAAGGGGGAAAAGCTAAATTAATGATATTTTTGTAGATGACAAACATACCTATCGACATAATTGCATATTTAAGATTCTCAGATTTAGTGTTATCCTATTATTGGTCAGATATATTTCAAACAGCTGTTAATACAGTTAATCATTGCGTCTTATTGAAGAACGGTTACAACTAATGGGTTTTGATAGGGCAAGTTTAGATTGGTTCAGATCCTACTTACTAATCGACACCAAGTAGTGGCCATTCATGATATTCGTTCCAAACTAATGCCTATAACATGCGGTGTTCCTCAGGGAAGCATTTTAGGCCCAATTCTATTTTCAAGTTATATAAATGATATGTGTATTTGTATAATAGACTTCAAACTATTATTGTACGCAGATGACAGCGTGATCCTAAATATATTGAGGAAAAGCTCAGTGAACAGCTGTCTTCGTGTGTCGATTGGATGACTGATAATAAGCTTTCTTTACATTTAATTGGGAAAAACAGAAAGCATTTTATTTTGTCCTAAAAGTAGTTCTAAAAAGTCATTTGAATTCAAAGTGACACACAATAATCAAGCAATCAAGAGAAAAGAGTCTGTGAAGTATTTAGGCATTGAGTTGGCTAGCGCAATTTCATTTTCATCTTTAGCATGCAGAATCAGTTGTAAAAAAAGCAAATTCTCGTCTGAAATTTTTGTACAGATATCAAAGTTGTATGGTTTAAAAAGCAAGGCGTACACTCTGTTTTGCTCTTATTCAATGCTTATTGACTATGCTAACCCTGCATGGTATAGTACATAAACAAGTCAGATCAAAAGAAGTTGAAGATTATACAGAACAAAATGGTGAGATTTATCAACTGTTCAGGTCCAAGAACTCATGTTGGCTACAGCGAACTTTCTAAAGCTGGTTTTCTTGAAGTCGACCAAAGATCAAAACAACTCGTATTGCATCACGTGCATAAAATATATCATACTAGGTCGAATCATTATATTCGATCCAACTTCGATCTTGTTACTGACGTACATGATTATAATACAAGAAATAGCCGATTCAACTTTAACTTACCAGAAAGAGTAGGTAGTATTGGAAATTCGTTTTATTACAATGCCATAAAACATTGGAATTCCCTTCCCAATGGTGTAAAAGAAATAGGAAACTATGATAATTTCAAGAGGAAATTAAAGGAATATCTAATACTTGACAGTCAGAGAAGAGAAGTGAATGACATGTTATATGATTGAATTTTTTTCGTACGTTATAGAAATTCTACAAATTCATCATTATTTTCCTCTTCTTCCTTCTCCTCTTTTTCTTCTTCTCCTTCTTCTTTTTCTTCTTGTACTTAATATCATTTCTATCATCAGTTTAATGTTGTTATTATTATTATAAGGAGTTCTTTTAATTTTCTTATCTGTCTGTAAATATTACTATTTTAACTTATTAATTTTATACATGCCTGTAAGGGACCCCACTGGAAATAAGCTCTCGAGCTGTGGCGGATTTCCCCGCTTTCACTTTCAAAGTCACAGAAGACCAGTGCTGCCGATCCAAGTCAAGGGTTTGACGTATGGTAGCCCCCCCCCCCCCATGCACGATTGAAGTGTTAATCAACAAAATGACAATACTGCCCCCCTCCCCCCCCCCCAAAAAAAGAAGTAAACATTGTTGTTGTGATTGTTTGGCTCAGGGGGGGGGGTGTCTAGGGATAAAGTGTTCACCCCTATCGTTGAGCCCCCCCCCCTGCCCCCACAAAAAAAAATAGTGCTTACTTTTTTAAAACCTGTTTTCTACGATTAGGAGGGCCGGGCCCGTCGCCCCCCCCCCCCCCCCCGTGGATCCACCCCTGACTCATCTAACTATTTCTTGCCTAATCCAAAAATCGAGGATTAATGTCAAATTGTATTTTTTTCCGCAATTTCTTTCAAGTTATTTTAAAAAATATACAAAACAAATTCAGTCGGGTCTCGATATGTCTAGTCTAGGCAAAGCCGAGCGCGCATCGAGCTTTCAAAGAGCAAGGTCAAAGGTCACCATGGCGCGTACGTGAAAATTCTGAATTAAGCCTTTGTCGGTCGGAGAAAAGAACGGAAAACAATGATTTGCCGTCGATACGTAAGAGTAACAGGTAACTTTCATGACTTTTTATCATTATTTATTATCAAAGATGATAACTTTAGTTGTAAGATTGCAATCTTTGATGGGTAATATGAGTATTTTTACCATGTTTTGATGCCCTCTTCAACAAGAAGCCTCAAGTTCAAGACCTGTGCTGGGCCAGCCACAGGCAGCGGACAGCTGGGCGGCTACCGTCGGGGGTCTACGTGCATGGAGCAGGTCTGCTAATGGCATAGGCCTAATGCCCAATCATAATGCCTGGCAATGCCCGCCCGCGCCCGGCCCGGCCCGGCGGATCCGGTCCCTTGGCTTGATGGAGCCGAGAGTAAGCCCTTGGTTGGGTTTATTTACTACGTCTTATGGAACAACTTAACTAAAATCAAATGTACTAGATAAAGTCTAGAATTTAGGCCTGTAAGGCTGTATTAGACTCTACTATTTATTTTAGAGTAAAGGAGGGGGTAGATCTAGGCCTAATGATCGACCATCTCCAGTTTTCAGCCGATTGGTTGGACGCATGCCATGGTTGATGGTAAAAACTAAAATCCCTTTAAAATACATCGCATAGAAGAAGATAGCATATCACATAATAATATCCCACACATACCTAGACCGAATTTTCCGTCTCTTAAGCCTCTTTGGGTAGGGTCAGCTCTCTCTTTAGTAGGGTGTCTGATCGCGCACCCAATGTTGTGTGCTAAAATACTTCCCATAGAGATTGCACGCATCCCTATGCAGTCTACGTGCATTGCGCGACCATGAAAATTGGTCAATGATTTTATGAAAAAAAATGAAATTCAAACCTTTGGGTAGGGTGTCTGAACGATTTTTCAATTTTCAATTTGGGATCGTTTTTCACCATTTTTGTTTGATATTTGAATAAAAAATGTTATCAGAATAATACATTTCAAATTTCAAGTCTCACCGATGTTTCTATCAAAAGTTACAGCCCCTCCAACACGCTGGTATATTCATATCATTTTGGTCAAAATCGACGACAAAGACGTCCACGCAGAGTGATGTTGTTTTGCTAAATTTAGCCAAACAGCTGTATCGCGCGATATGCAAGCGTATGCATATCGTACGCATGCTGCTAAGCCAATCCGCGACTTGCAGCTTGAGCTACGCTGTCTCCGCGACATGTGCGATTGACTAGTATGGTTGGCGTTCGTCGCACAATAAACCCGGAAGTGAATGCACGTTATAGTCAATGGCAATAGGGGGTTTTCATTTGTCACGTCGACATAGTCGACGTCAAATATGTGACGTCATTTCGGCGATCTGCGCATGCGTCGGGTCGTCTGGCGTCGTCAGGCCACATTTGCGAACCCGTCCATCGATGATTTGAGGTTCGTCAGAAAACTAGTGACCCGTCGTCAGAATGACGTCATCATGCTACATCGCAGCGTAAATCAGAAAGTAAAAACAGCAAGAGAAAGTGATAGAATGATTAAAAAACAAAGAATAACATAAGAAAATGTGATAGAAGGAAGAAACAAAGAATAACATAAGGAAAGACAGAAAGAGAAAGTGATAGAATGATAAAAACAAAGAATAACATAAGAGAATTAAGTTGAAAGAAGGAAGAAACAAAGAATAACATAAGGAAAGACAGAAAGAGAAAGTGATAGAATGATAAAAACAAAGAATAACATAAGAGAATTAAGTTGAAAGAAGGAAGAAACAAAGAATAACATAAGGAAAGACAGAAAAAGAAAGTGAAAGAAGGGAAGAAACAAAGAATAACATAAGGAAAGACAGAAAGAGAAGGTGAAAGAAGGAAAAAAACAAAGAATAACATAAGGAAATACAAAAAGAGAAAGTGATAGAATGATAAAAACAAAGAATAACATAAGAGAAGATGAAAGAAGGAAGAAACGAAGAATAAAATAAGGAAAGACAGAAAGAGAAGGTAAAAGAAGGGAAAAACAAAGAATAGCATAAGGAAAGACTGAAGAGAAAGTGAAAGAAGGAAAAAAATAAAGAATAACATAAGGAAAGACAGAAGGAAAAAACAAAGAATAACATAAGGAAAGACAGAAAGAGAAGGTGAAAGAAGGAAAAAACAAAGAATAACATAAGAAAAAACAAAAAGAGAAAGTGATAGAATGACAAAAACACAGAATAACATTAAGAGAAGATGATAGAAGGAAGAAACAAAGAATAATATGAGGAAAGATAGAAAGAAAAATGATAGAATGATAACAACCACAATAACATTAGGAAAGACAGAAAGAGAAAATGATAAAGAATAGACAATGGAAAGATAGAAGAGAAGATGAAAGAAGGAAAAACAAAGAATAACATAAGGAAAATAGAGAGAGTATAATAGAATAATAAACGAAGAACAAAGTAAGAAGTGAAAGAAGGAGAAATTGAATAAGCGCGTGCAGGGGCCAATACGTCATCGTGTAGAGAACGGGTGTCGACTTAAAACGAAAAGGGTTATAAGGTAGTGAACAGGACGGGTGTCTGACGCCAATTCGCATCGTCAGAGGACGTGAACGCCGTCCTCGTCCACACAAACGAAAAGCCCCTAATATCGCGGAGACAACGCGCGTTGTCTCCGCGATATTGCCATTGACTATAACGTGTATTCACTTCCGGGTTTATCGAGGGAATTGCCAACCATAATTTCAGTCACTATAATTTCGGGTTTCGTTCGTGCGCGGAGATGTTACGCGATGTAACCATGGTTTGGACTGAGCGGAGCGCACGCCTCCTAATTAGCTGATCCACCAAATAGCGAGAAGGGTATTTTTAAACTGTTATCAGTTGTGATCCCTGGGGGCTAGCGAAAATATAATCACATAGAATTGTTCCTTAGGACTGGGACTACTTATCGATCGGGGCGTCATATCTCAAAAGTGACAAACCTCAGAGTTAGCCAGGACACAATGTTTAAATTGCTGTTTTGACCAAGATATTTTTAGAATTTCGGGGGCTACGCCCCTTTGGAAATATTGGAATTCACCTGCTCTTTCATATGACACCTCATTCATTGATTATCACCTTCAGGATCACAACTGATAAAGGTTTGAATCTCGATTTGAAAAAAAAAAATTGACTTTTTTTGCATGGTCGCGCAATGCACGTAGGCTGCATAGGGATGCGTGTAATCTCTATGGGAAGAATTTTAGCACACAACATCGGGTGCGCGATCAGACACCCTACTTTGGGGCTTGTGATCCTGAAGGTGAAACTCAATAAATGAGGTGTCATATGAAAGAGCAGGTTTTTCTCCATATTCCCCAAAGGGGCGCACCCCCGAAATTCTAAAAATATCTTGGTCAAAACAGCGATTTAAATGTTGTTTGCATCCTAGCTCCAAAATTTGCCACTTTCCTGAGCTGCGCCCCCCGGGCTTATGTCCGGCTAGACGTAAGGAAAATATGTATGCACTTATTTTTTCGCTAGCCCCAAGAGATCACTCGCCCCAACAGTTTAAAAATACCCTTCCCACATTTTTGGAATCAGCTAATTAGGGAGGCGTGAGCTCCGCTCAGTCCAAACCATGGTTACATCGCGTAACATGTGCGCTTATAGTGAATGAAAGTATGGATGGCCGTTCCCACCATAAACCCCGGAAGTGAATACACGTTATAGTCAATGGCAATATCGCGGAGACATCTCCGCGATATTGCCATTGACTATAACGTACATTCACTTCCGGGTTTTTTGTGCGACGAACGCTAACCATACTAGTCAATGGCACATGTCGCGGAGACAGCGTAGCTCAAGCTTGCAAGTCGCGCATTGGCTTAGCAGCATGCGTACGATATGCATACGCTTGCATATCGCGCGATACAGCTGTTTGGCTAAATTTAGCAAAACAACATCACTCTGCGTGGACGTCTTTTTCGTCGATTTTGACCAAAATGATATGAATATACCAGCATTTTGTAGGGGCTGTATCTTTTGATTGAAACATCGGTGAAGCTTCAAATTTGAAATGTATTATTCTGATTACACTTTTTATTCAAATATCAAACAAAAATGGTGAAAAACGATCCCAAATTGAAAATTGAAAAATCGTTCAGACACCCTATCTTTAGAGACGGAAGCCGACTAGATCTAGAATCTATAGTCTAGATGTCTACGCATTCACTTTCAAACACCAATTTAGATCTATGGCCATATTTTTATGCCCCAAAAATTCCACAAAATTTCATTTTACCTCGTGCATATCCAATTGTAAATTAGGCCTAGGCTATAATACATCGGTTCCACTTACCAACTTGACTGAAATAATCCGTTTAATAGTCCCTTTTTTTAGGAAATTATGGGTCAAAATCGACATCCATGTTGACAATCTTGCAAGACATATTTTAACTCTTGCTGCGCAGGACGTCATCTAAATCTCATCCGTTCTAGTCTACGCCGAAGGCAAAATGATTATGAAGGAAAAACTGTACGCGAGCTACACGTTCGTAATGGCGTTATCAGTTTTTTCCATGACCTAGCGAGGCAGTTTTCGGCTGCATGAATGTACTTAGTCAGGGAGCGTGCTCCGTATGTTCGCCCGCTGATGCTATAGCACGGGCTCGCTGTGGTACCAAAAAAAAAGACGCATGCGGCCAAAGCACGTAATCCCCCCCACACGGCCGAAAACTACACCTGCGGGTACGCTGATCAGAAATTGGAATCTAAACTATACAGAGATACGGTGCTATAGTATCTGACTGATAGGATAATACACATGTGGTGAGAAACGGGCCAAAATTAATTTCACCTATGAAAAATAACACAAACTCTGTTATATTGTTAACTTTGGTTTGCCTTTTCACTAAAAGTGAACTAAACAAGGTAAATTAAGCCTGCATTATTTGGCCTCAATTAAACTGAATACACCCTATACAATTGATACGATTGTAAATGGTTGAGTAAAAGTCCAACATATTTTTTTCTTCAAAAACGATTATTGTTGTTGTGCAATAGTAAGGTTAATGAGATAAAATGTCAAGGTTTGGTCTTTATTTTTCAAAAGGAATTCAAATCTACATGAGGAAATTCTGACTGTAATGCATTTTCACACGTACACTGTACTGTACATGTAAACATACAAGCTTTCCTGAGAAGCTGTTGTTTTCTACCTTCTCTAAATGAAGCACACATAATCATCTCACATAAAAAAGGTACACAAAAACACACCAAAACAATAGATTATAAATTAATAAAATAATAAAAGTAACATTACACAGATATACAGAGGAGCTAATATTTTGTGAGGAAGGGTCATACTGATTAAAAATATACATGCGAAAAGGTACTTGTTTATATTCTTCTGAGTGACTGGGAACTCTCTCATTTGATAAGATTTAGTGACTTGTCATGCTGCCCAAAGGGTTTGCTACTTCCATTCAGTCATGGGAAGGTGTCTATTGCCCAATCAGGAGCAGCACGCGGTTTGTTTCTTTGTTTCAGTGTCCATTGTGAAATTTTGGGCAGCTAACTAAAAGGTATGTGCAAATTGGCGCTTAATGTCTATGCGCATCTTCCTGCAATGCCACGCTGCTTTTAATAATAATAATAATAATAATCTTTTAAAGTCCACTCCAAATTTTATTAACTTAAACCAAAAATGGAAATTCTTTTTGCCCAATTGATCGTGAGCCCGGCAGCCACTAAGCAGCGCCAGATCGACGCTGCTCTATCCCTTATTGTTGAACACCAAACAAGGTAGCAGCAACTCCCGTCTTTTAACGTCTTTTGGTATGACGCGACCGGGGTTCGAACCTACGACCTCCCTGTTGTGAGGCGGATGCTCTACTGACTGAGCCAACACACCGGTGTTATTCAATGAGGAATGTCACAATTCTCTTTGCAAAGCAAAATTCAATGTTTTTGTCAAGAAAATTAAGTATTAAACAGAGTTTAATAAGTAACATGTACTATAGATGTATATAACCCTGTAAGTTACAGCTATGATCAGATCGGATGATCGTATCGATGGTTTGGCTCCCGATATCTGTATCGGATCGGCAGATGCTGAGGGAAATCTGATGATTTTTTTTATAGTTAAGTTCTTCCTCAAAAATGTTAACAAAATTGTCGACAATTTTGAGCACTCTAATACCTTAAAGATATTACAAAGTTTTGGGAAATTTTGAAAAATGGGTGGATAGTAATTCTTTACAATTTTGATATATTTGGATGCCCCTGTGGATGTTTTAAAAGCACCAGAAATTTGAGCCCCTAAAACACTTCTGCTTTCGAGAAAAATTGAATATAAAGATTTACCGATGCTCCCGGTAAATTTTGATAAATTTCAAATAACTCCTACGGCCGTACAATGGTAGCTGCGACCATAAAAATCTCGGAGTATGTAGTTGTGGTATATAATTTCCGATCGAGAATAGCTAATCGGTCGATTTTAGTCTATTAACATTGTTTTATAGCTTAATTAATATCTTGACCTTGAGAGGGAGCTATTCAACATAAAGTGTTTATTATTTACAATTTTAGAACTTTAGAGTCGATTTCGACCGCGACAACGATCACTGAATATTGTAGGATCGTATATGCTTCCAATATGTTCATTCGAACCAAGTTCATGACCCCATACCAAAACTTTGTATTACCTTTAAATCATTCATACCTTGGACAATTCTCTCATTTGAAGTTCTAGTAGTCCATGTATAAAGCTATTTTCATGCCAATAAATGTCAACAATTGGCAAATGATCGGAAGAAGAAAAAAAACATGCATAGCTGGGATTATTTTGTATTTTGGAGTATTTTTAGACCATGTTTGATATTAATTAAGTGCCTTTTCATGACTTTGAAGTTTGAAATTATTAATATTAGTCTAAGAGAAGAGGCAAAACATACGAGCCGCCATTAAGGATTATAATGACAATGAAAAAAAAGGCATGCCTACATTATATACAAAGTAAATCTCTGTGTATAAGCCGCACCTTTTTTTACGCCAAAACAAAGAAATCGAAGTCGGGGGTCTGTCTTATACACAGATACAAGAAAATATATACACTGTATATATTTTTGTTAAAGTGTTGATTTATGCCCCTCCACCTGGCACTGTTTCTGGCAATGTCTCCCAGCTCAGTCATACACGGTGTGTCAACTCTTAACTCAGAAACTAGAACCTGTACAGTACCAGTATGTCTGGATTTCTGTTTGGACTGAGAGGAAAATTTGTCTGACACATTTAGTTTTAAAAACGACATTGTTACTGTTATTTGTGACAAGTTCACAAGCCCAAATCGGCACCTTCAAGTGCACCTCACAGTGAAATAAAGGTCCTTGTCTGCATGCGTTTTTGAACATAGACCTGGCTTGCTGCCTACAGAGTCGACAAAAAAAAATGGGGGTGTCTTATACATACTGTAGGTGCGTCTTATACACAGAGATTGGCGGTAAGCCAAAATGGCGACTCGCATGTTGTCCCAACAGGAGCAGAGCCAAATACACTTAGCCTGAATGGTGAAGCTGCAGCTTATATAATAATAATAATAATAATATTCATTTGTAAAGCGCAATAACTATGTGGATATATTCTGCTGCTCTGCAAGAGCTCGTAAATGCTGTGCTATATATATACTACAGTATATGAACAAGTGAGTTTTCAGTTTTTATTTAAAATTGTCTAGTGATGGGGCTTTCCTTATTTCTAGTGGTAATTTATTCCATAATCTAGGGGCAGCACAAAGAAATGAGCGGCCCCGGGGGTTACTTTGGTTTTATATGGGGGTATTTGCAACATAAATGTGTCTTGTGTACTACAAAGGTTACGACCATGAGTTTGAGACTTGATGCAACAATTCATTAACGTAACTAGGAGTTTGACCATTTAGAGCTTTGTAGACTGTCATTAATATTTTAAATGCAGTTGAGTCAATCTGCACATGCTACCTTGTCGTCTGTACTACTTTATTTGCCTGTGGTATTCACAACTTGGTAAATTTTAGAACATAGAGCATGTTTAAAATGTTTACTTGAAACTGGCAACAGAATTACTCATGGAGAGAACATCTGTCACTTCATGGACATTAGTTTTCGATGCTTCATTCATATGGGGATTTGCATGAACCAATAAGATATTGACTCCATTTGACCCTGTGTCATTTCTTTCACCTTCAGACCAATAATTTTCACTCAGGAAGTGCGACACCACGATGGGTTCCTTGGATAAGCTGGTAGTGACCTGCCACGGGCATTACAATGATCCAGAACTGCATTTCAAGTTACACTGGCTCATCAAGCAACTTTCCAATCTAACAGAGACAGGTGAGGATCAAAGTTAATTTTCAACAAGTTTTGAGGGGAATTCTGCGTAGGAGATCCCCCTCCCCCCACCCCATCCTTTCTGGGGGCCTAATCATAATTTAATCAAATCTTTATGTACTACAAAAAATGTTTTCTTGTTACTCTTGTACTTATGTGTTCATATGCTTGGAATTCGAAATGTCAAAAAACGTTTGCCAAATGGTTTTGAACAGATTTTTATATTACCTACAGTCTATTGGAACAAATGAGTATGGTAAAACCAGTCACTCAAATATTTTTACTTTTTTGAAACACTTCATGATCATTTAAAGCAACTTTTTTTTTTGGGGGGGGGGGGGGTGGGGGGGGGGGTTTCAATATTACACCATATCATAGACACTGATAACATGTAGGGCCTTGCATCTCAGATTTGTAAGCGTGGAAACATTGTTAAACAATGCCTTTAACTTTTATGTACTATGTTTTGTATTTTATATATGTTTTTATGATGCATGAAATAAAGATCAATTTCAATTTCAACTCATGCTTCAGTCCTCATGCGGGCATAAAGATTTCCATTTTATTCTTTGTTTGTACAGTGTACATGTACATGTATATGTTATTAAGTATTCTTCATGTTTTTTTTCTCCTTTTGTTTACCCTTACTGTAGAAACGTTATCTGTTCATAAAGTGGAGCCATGGAACAGCATCAAGGTAACATTCAACATTCCACGCCACGCTGCCACTCATCTTCGATCACTGGCCCAAAATGGAGATCCATCTCTAAGGAACCTAGGAATTTTGTCTGTGCAACTGGAAAATGGAAATGTCATTGACTTGAACACCGGACCGCCACCTCCACCACCTCCTGCACCGGTTGCCCAGCAGCAACAGCAGCAGCAGCAACAGCAACAGCATGTTCAACAGCCTCAGCAAGCACCACCACAGCAACAACAAATTCACCATCAGCAGCAACATCAACAACAACAACAACAACAGCAGCAGCAACAGATGCAAGCGCAGCAGTTTCAACACCCTCAGATTCAGCAACAGCAACAGCAACAAGTGGCACAGGCTCAACTAAATCAGAATGCAGGCTTTCCATCTGTTCTCGGACAAAACCAAGGAATAGGCATGAACATGAACGCCTCGCCTCAGGCTATGGCCTCCAGAATGGGTATGACACCTTCTCCGGGGCCAATGGTTATGCATGGAAACCCTGTAGCACCTCCTTCTCAATCTCCTGTACCTCAGGCCATGAACAGGGGCTTCAGTCATAACACTAACCAGTTCCAGCAAAGAGGGGGCTTTCCCCCAAGACCAACTACCCCAACAGCTCAGTCTATGTCGCCCAATCCGATGAGTTCAATGGCCACGTTGGCACAAGGACACAGTGTGCCTCCTAATACACATCTCACTCCAAGCAGTATGATGCAGGATAGCAACCAGCAGGGAAATATGTTCCCTTGGGGTTTGACTGGCTTTCCACAGAGAGGACAACAACATCAACAGCAACAGCAGCAGCAGCAGCAACAACAACAACAGCAGCAACAACAACAACAACAACAGTGGAACCAAATGCCATTCCAGCCTCAGCAGTCTCCACAGCAGCAACAACACCAGCAACACTTGCCATTTCCTATGCATCAAGGTATGTCGCTTGGAATGGACATGGCTGCAAATCAAACACTACCTAGTTCAATGGGGAACACGCAGCAGGCTGGAATTCCGTCACGGCCTCAACCTCCTCCTCCAGCTCAAGTGAAAAAGCCAGCCCCTAAGAAAAAGCGCAAGAGCAAGAAAAAGCAGAACCATCCTCAAATTCCACTGCCACCACCACTAATGCCCCCAGACCCACGAACTATGAACAACCCCCCTCCTCCGCCTCCTTCTCAAGACCCACTTCAGCAGAGTAAACCGCCCAACCTAGCTTTGCCTCCGAGTCTCATGAATAATCCTCTCAGTCCAGATGCACCTTCTGTGCAGTCCAGAGTGATGCAGCCTCCTCTGCAATCAAGTGCAATGCCTATATCAACGTCGTCTGGGCCAGTTCCAGAATCTCTCCCCTACTCCCAATCCCAATCACAGGTCACGACTGCGATGTCAACATTCCCTTTCTCTGATACTTCAGGTTCTAAGTTGCCAATGCCTCAAGGAACAACAATCCAGCAGAGCCAAACAGGACAGGCCCAAATTGGACAATCTGACATGTTGTTTACTCAAACCCAGCAACTCCAAGTGCCTTCGTCACATGGACAGCACGCTCAAGTTGCCAATATACCACAAAACTTCATGCCAGGACATCACTTATTAGGTCATCATAACAAGAAATCTGTAACTGCCTCTTTGACAAGCCCTTTGCTTGTCAATCTCCTACAGAGTGACATCACGGCTACGCAGTTCTCATTTTCATCAGAAGAGATTAAGAGTACCAATGCTTCAGCAATAACCACAGGTGGTGTAGCAACGTCAAGAAATGAACACACATTACAGCAGTTGCAGCAACATTTGCAACAACAACATGCACAGCAACAGCATCAATTGCAGCAGCAGGTGCATCATCAGCTTCAACAACAGCAACATCAGCAGCATCAGCAGCAACAGTTACAACAAATCCAGACCCAGCACCCTGAACTTCAGAACTTGAATCCTCAGCAACAACAGCAACTGCAGCAACTCTTCGCTAATTCAGGACAACCACAAGCAACCAATGTCCCTGGTCAACCACCATTTCCTCAACAGACCCATTCCAATGTACCAAACCAGAGTGTTGCTCCCTACTCCATGTCATACCCTCAGCCAATCTTCAGCACACCACCCATTCAGATGGGTTCTGCAGGTCCTACACCTACAAGTAGTTTACCTGTTTCAACATCAGCAGAAAAGATTACATTGTCAACAACAGCAGGATTCCCTGTAACATTGCCAAACCAGGTAGGACCAGGTTTACCAGGCTATCCTCCCACTAGACCAGAATTAAGAGCTATCCCTCGAGGCCCAAGTCCAAGAATGTCCATTCCTGTGCCATCTTTACACTTTGATCCAAGCAGGACACAGTCACCACAGGTACCTCCCTCAGTTGCTGCTCTTATTTCAGCAAGATCTCAATCATCGTCACCTCCAGGAGCAGGACCAAGACAGCAGACACCACCTATTGGAGGAAGGATGGCATCTGGATCTGGATATTTGCCTCCACCTATTGCAACATCCAGTATTGCTACAGATGTTCCTAAAACAACTGCATTTCATCAACCAACCTTCACTTCCGGTTCCGGAAGTTCATTTTCTGCAGCAAGTGCTACTGTTCCTCCAGCAACCACTTCTCATGTCCAGACCACAGCCAGTAGCATCATGCAGAGCGCTGTTCACAAGCCTGTAAAGGAATCAGATAAACCAGTTGCAAGTGTTGAAAAGATGGAAGAAGATCACTCTTTTGATGAGGAATCTGCGATGGCATCCATGACTGAAGCAGAAAGAGACACATTTGCAATGGCAGCAAGGATAGTTCAAGAAGTGAAAGATGAAGAAGAACAGAAATTCAAAATGGTAACTCCACCCACTAAAACAACACCTTCGCAAAAGAAGAAACAAAAAACTGCCTCAACGTCTCGTCAGTCTCACCTGCTCTCTCAACCCTCTGCAAAAATTTCTTCCCCAATGAGCCCCAATCCTCCAGCTCCACCACCTCCTCCAAGTACCCGAGAGCTCTTGGGTAACATCTCGCATCCCATTAGTGGGGGACACATTAACAAAGGAGAGGCTCATTCTTCTAATTTTTCCAATATTCCTTTTTCTAGAGGATTCCTTGGAAGTTCAAATTTTCCTCCAGGTGGGGCGCCACCCACAAACAGCCCATCATCTCAAGGCTTAGTTCAACGATTTGTAGGGAACCCAAGGGGTAATATGTCAATTCCTCCTCCGCGGATGGCAGCTCCACCTGCGGTTTCTTCTACGCAACAATTTACTGGACAGAATGTGAATGTACCTGTAACCTCCATGCATGCTGGTGGAGGCATGGCGAATCCCGTTATTGGGCAAGAGAGTGATCTGAACTTCGGTCAACCTCCTGTAAGTAGAAGTCTATCAAGGCCTGCAACAACAACGCAAATTACAACTACAGATGGTATTCAGACGATCGATAGAATGGTAGACCTAAGTAGGCAAATGGGCTTTGGTTCAATGAGCGTTGCTGATCAAGTGCTTGGTGCTCAATTACCACAGATGGCTAAAACAGAACAACATTCTTTTCCACCTGGAAGTCAGATGTACCCCTCTCAGGTTACTTCTCACCCAACAAATCCTACAATGGCTGGTCCAACTCCAAGCATGTTGCAGGCATCACATGCACAAGGTGATAACTCTAGCAATCAACCTTTCAACTGGCCTTTAGACTTTCCACCATCAACATCATCAAGCTTGACATCGGAAGGGCTTCGTTTCATGGAAAAACTAGCAAATAATCCAAGAGAAAGCCAGTCTGTGCGTTCAACATCCAATCCCCCGGCGTATGGCGCTCAAGGCAGTGACCCATCTGGGGCTGAAAAGAAAGATGATAAATCTCATCTCAAGGCATTACTAAGTGAAATCAATGTTGCCCCACAGATTGCTTCAACTGCTTCAACTACTGTGCACCAACCTGTAACTTATGTGACAACTCATTCATCAATCCAAGGACAGAGTATGCAGCCTGTACTCTCAAGGGTAGTAGCCCCAAGCCAAAGTCCCATGCTTAGCCAAAGACCAACAGACATTCAACCTAAAGCAGAGGTCAGGTCAGAAGTAAAGCAGTTACTACAAGAAGATATTATGATGAGTATTGCACAAGCAGCAGCAACAAGCCAAATTGCTTCTGCTTATACTGCTGGAAGTGCAGTCGAAGAATCATCTAGCAATAAAGCATCTGTTCCAGGAAGTGTAGTAGTTAAGAAAGAAGGACATGAGCAAACCCTCAAACAAGACGACATGCCTATCCTAAAGCCATATGGAGGCTTGTCAAGTCAAATGCAGGATACCATACATATGCCTAGATTAGCAGGAACGGGAAGGACCCCTGCAACTTCTGATCCAAACCAAGCAATAATACCAGGTGTTCAACAAACTGCATCTCTACCAAATGTGCCTGCAACAATATCAGGTTCTGTGCCCTCGCATTCTTCTGTTTCTAGTCAGCAAATGAGGAGAACACCACCAGCAACAATTGCCTTGACTCCTCCTTCAGATAGTCTTCACATTTCTACTGTTGAGCAGCAGAAAATGCATCCACAAGATCTTCACCCTGTTCCAGGGGTGTCACCAACTAACCAAACTGGGCTTCCTACAATGCCTGGCGTGTCTCAGTCACAAGTTGGAGAACCTCCTATGGATCAGGTTTCCAAAGTGCAGTCATCAGAGGCAAAGTCTCCTGGGGCAGCAGCTGAGCGAAGTCTCCGACGTCAAAGAAGTATCAGCCCCCAGAGTGAGCGAGCCTTCAGCAGTGCAAGTGCATTGCTAAGTTCTATCGCAAAGTCAGCCAGTGGACGAACAGTTGGGAGTACTACTGGGAGTACGGACAAACTTTCTTCCTCGGGAAGCAGTGTAGGGAGTGGTGGTGGAAAGCAATCACCCGTTATATCAGAGCCACTCAGTATTTCTCCATCTCCAACACAAGCACCACCAGTGACCTCACCCATGCCAATTCTGCAGCCTCAACTAGCTGAAGCTCTTGGAAGTATACCTGACTCAGCTGATCTGACTAAACTTGCCACATCTGCCATTCGTGGTTTGAGTCCACCCCGTATTCATGAGGAAGAAATCAAGCCACCTCCACAACACGCCTTAGACTTTCCTGCTCTGAAACAGCGGAGAAGGCGCTCGTCCAGTGGTAGATCGTTGACCCCACCTAGGTCAGGTACACCTCCTGCAAGCTACAGACAAGGTATGATGGGTAGTTCCACAATGATGAGAGGGGGCACACCTCCAGCACAGACTGACAGGAGGCACTCACCTACAGTTCTGGGAGAAGTCATGGGTGGTTCTCCACATGGTATGAGGTCCTTGATGCCAATGCCTCAGAGAATGATGTCCCCTGTAAATGAATATGGCCCTTATGGTGGACACATGATGAAGAATATGCATCAGCATAATGCATTTCAAGACCAGTTTCCAGGACAGATGCATGGTACCTCAAATCTTCCACCTGGCTTGATGGAGTTACAAGGACAGCATCCCATGCCTCCACATTTTATGGGAGGCGGAATACCTGGTAATGTTCAGCACTCATCTCAGCCTGTCACAACATCACTGCAGCAAGGGCAAGCTGGAGCTCACCAGCTTGCATCAAACATGACAGAGTCTCCTACATTGACTCATCCAAGTGTGACCACACAAGGAATGATACAAAGCCATCCAACAAATGTACACCAGACTTTTGCCAGAGGACCTCCAGGCAGTCCAAGATCAGGGCAGTTTGATCCATCATCTGTTCCTGCTAGAGCTCCTCACACTTCTCAGCAGCTCCCAGGGAATATCGACAGTGGAGCCATGCAGCCACAGAGTCGAAATGAAGTACTGGCAAGTGTCCTGGGTCAACAGCAGAGTGCTGTGCAACAGGACTGGTCTCAGAAAAGTGATTCCACTGGAAGTCTTGGGAGAGGTTTCCAAGGCCAAATACCACAGTCTACAGTTACCACACCAAGTCAGGTCCAGCTGTCAAGGTCCTTCCCCCCTGAAGCAAAACTTACAGTTCTACCCACTCAACTCAATGTAGAGAGCAGTAGTCAACCAGGACAGGCTATCAATGCTACAACTGCAGCAACATCAGAGTCATCAAGCCAGTCATCTATGGTTGCCGCTCAAAGTACAGTTTCAGAAGCTGTTACAAATCCTTCACAGGATACTGTTCCTGCTACGAAAAATGCTGAGAACATTGCTTTGCATTCATCTGCTTTGCCTGCAAATCCTATGGTGTCTTCTGCTCAACAAAATGTAACAACAGCAGGGCAAGATACCAAGACACCTTATCCTGGTAGCGCACCTGCTCCACCTCCTCAGCATCATCAAACTTCAGAAACTCTCAGTTCTGCAAGTACTGTCCTGGATGCCATCAACAAAGCGCAGATCACTCCCGAACTCTTTACACCAGCCACCTTAACCACAACCACCTTGCCTCCAGAAACCCAAGTGACCAGCGCCCAAGTGACCAGCGCCCAGGTGACCAGCGCCCAAAGCTCTGAAACCGCAAGCCTACCGGTGCATCAAATGCTGCATTCAGATACAGGGCCACCAACCCCTGTCCATATGGAATTAGCAAAGGACCAGGCTGCTGTTACAAATACTATTAAGAGTGAAGAAGAGCCCACTCTTCCAGTATTGACCAGAGAGATGAGTGACCCTAGTGAGTATTTTTCCTGTAATGTTCGCCTCGAAAACAAATACCGTATGTACTGGCAAATTGTTAAAGTTACCAGAGACATGTATGAGAGAGGGGGGGGGGGGGGGGGGGGGGGTTTGGGCTTCCAACTTTTTTTCAGTCTTAGCATCTGATGAATATTGCAATTAAGATCCTCTGAAACGAAATGTATTTCTCATCAAATTTGCAATGTACCTCATGAAAAACATGTACTTGCTTGAATATTGGGTTTGAACATGTCTCACAGGCTCTGGAGGTAACACAAGTGCAATAGAGTAATGTGTCTGTAGTCTTTGTGCACTATTAAAGATGTAGAGCAATAGAATGTGGTGATTTACTGGCAAAAACACTTGTTCATCCTAAATGAGAAAGGGGAGAGTGTATAATGTATATTTGTCATTGTATGAATTGTGCACATGCTTAATCTGTAACTTAACAATAGGACGTAAGGTGATGTCATTAAAAGGGATCACTTTATGTAAAAATAAAGTCGGTAGTAAATAGTCAATTTAGGATAAATAGAACCTATAGTGAGCGGAGTGAACTGAAAACCCAAACAATCATTTTAGAATTTTAGAATTGACAAAACTCATCTCACGACTTTGTATTAAACCAATGTATTTTTGTTCTCTACTTCATTAAGGCCCCATTGCTGAGAAAGAAGAAAGCTCTCTATCCAAACAACCAGACTCTGTACAAGGCAGTGCAACCCCTGAGATACCTACTCTATCATCGGAAAGCAAAGACAAAGGTATGCTACAGGACGCAACAGCAAAGCCACCATCAGAGACACCATCGGACACACCAAAGCCTGCGCCAGAGGCATCGGTGTCCCTTGAGACGTCTGAGGAAATGGACAAAGCTCCAGAGGATCAACCTGAGTATCATGAAGAAGCAATAGAAGCAACATCATCTGGAGAGGGTTTCCTGATGAGAGAAATGTCACTTCCAGACCATGAAGACACCGACTCCACCAGCTCGCGTTCCGAGACTCCTAAATCCTACTTATCGGAACCGCCCCCTGAGGATACGTCCCCAAGCGTTAGGACACGTCGGTCCGGTCGAAAGTCTCCAGGGGCAGCCACGGCTCCAGGTCTTGAGGGTGGTCCAATGGGAACCAGAACCAGGAGCACCAGTGGTTCTTTGACTTCTGCTGCTGCCATGGCAGATAGGGACGCTGATGGCATGTCTGACCAGGATGGGGTGACAACCAGGAAACGCAGCTCGAGACACAATGCAAAAGGTAAATTTACACTCATTAGGTTGCCCAATATTGTTGGCTGAGATCCTGATACAGTCAAACCTGCTTTAGAGACCACCTGTCTACAAAGACCACATTTTTTGTTTCCCTTGAAAATGGTTTCTCATTGAAACATGTACTAAAGAAACCTGTCTACAAAACCACCTGTCTACAAAGACTACCTTTATGTGTCTCCCTTGGGCGGTCGCTATAGACAGGTTTGACTGTAGTAATTAACTTGTCATCTCGAACACAAATCCCATCCGGTTCTGTCTCCCAACTGTTGTAGGGTGACGAAAGCTTTTGTGTTAGTAATTGCCTATGCCCTCACGGTGACCATATGGTAGGAATACTCCCCAGGGAGTGGAGATGGTGCACATTGTGCATGAATGAATTCGATGACCGGGGTAATAATATCTGTAAAGCACAGTGTGCACCATCTTCACTCCCTTGGGAGTATTCCTACCAAATGGTCACCATGGGGGCATATAGCAATTACAAACAGAAAGGCTTTCGTCATCCTACCATGTCCCCATTTCTCCCCTGGGTATGGAGTGACAAATCTAGAATAATGCCTGGCCAAAGGACATTAGTGCCGTGTCGGGGATCGAACCCACGATCTTTGCATTTCAAGTCCAGTGCTTAAACCACTCGACTATGCCACCTCTTATTAAACAGATATTGTTTGATTTTCCCATTTTCATCTTTCGTTGCAGCGGAGATGTACTATGGACCAATCCCAGCCTACAAGAGAAGAAAACCCAATCAGAAATAAACGCAGAACAAAACTTTCCAACTACCTTCTTTTTTTTTGTGAGCTGCAAGCCAAGGCTGAAGACCCTTTTTCCTTCTTCTGAGGGGTGGATCCAGATGAGAAACTAGACTTAGGCTTAGATTTATTAGGCATTTTGATCTCCCAGATATTTACGGTAAGCGTCTTCTAGTGGGACGCCATCTTGAATCTTCCTAGGCTGAAGACCCAGTACAGAGGAATGACCCTGTACAGTTGATGAAAGGTCAATGGACTTTTTATGCTACCGTGGAACTTCTTTATGGAGAACACGTTTATAAAGTGGAACCTCGTTATGATGAGGTTCTTTGGACCATGGAAATTACCTTATATTAGGGTAAAAACCCCAAAAGAATATAAAGAGCTGGGACCAGCAAATTTTACCCCACCAGAACAGATACCTTGTTATATCAGAGCTCTTTGTAATGGGGTTCCACTGTAGCAAACTTTCATTGAAATAAAGTAATTTTGCCAGCCCCAGATATTGTCTTTTTTAGGGGGTGGTGTTGTCATTATCGTGTTTTTTTAGCCCTGATACAACAAGATTTCAAAGGAACGAGGTCATTGGGTAATTTTTCTTTTTCCTAGGGTGTTTAATAATAATAATATTTAATTTATGATAACAAGGATGCACTGTGAAGCGGTGTATTTGTTTTTTGTATTCCCTGTAAAGGTGCTGGTAGTTTAACATGAATAAGTTGCACTTGAGAGGCCACATGGTAAATTGCTGATTTATGCTTATTTGATAATTCTAAACCAGATAAATATTCTTATGTAAAGTCGGTTATTATATGCCAAAAGAAAAAAGGATCTATCTAGATATACATGTAGCAATCATGGGGCATTGTTAAATAAAATGTTGAATATAAATAAACTTTTGATAGATACTGTGTTTTGACAGTTAATATTTTGTGTAAAAAGAATCGTAATACAAGAGAAGCAGTGTAATTGTTTTATTTCAATTATTTATCACCTTGAAAAGTAAATTACCCTTATTTTCAGAAGATCATGACTAAAATTGTATATTGCGTAGCAAAATAATATTGTTGCAACAATCGCCAAGTAAACATTTTGAGGGGGAGGGGGGCTACATTTCTAATCTTTTATAACCCCACTACCTCCTGCATTTGTTGTTGTAGATTTTGATTGCTTCGGTGGTAAAAAAATGAAGTGTCACATCAGGGATTCAAAGGTCGTGGAAAAACCAGGAAAGTCATAGAGAAATGACAAAATTCTCCTAAGTCATTGATATTGTGAGGGGAGGCGGAGGCAATCGCAAACATTAAATAATATATATCACTGTGTGTTATTTGTATACCACTTGAATGCCGCAACCCATACCAAAATGGTACTTATCTTTTCAAGGAAAAAGGCAAAAATAGATCGTGGAAATTCATTGAATTTAGTACCTTAATTTCTCTGTGGAACCTTGGATATATATTTTGTGAGACCATGTTATTTACCACCAAGGCAACAAAAGACACCTTTTATGCTGCCAGACATAAACACCCTCTCCCCCCCCCCCCAAAAAAAAAGGAAGATGAGGCAGAGAAGCAACCGTTATGTTTGAGGCCTGATAACCAGTTTACTTGTGACCTTAAATGTTTTGATACATGTTATTGAAAATGGTGCCAAATGGTGAAGAAAATTATTAATGGTTGTTGACAAATGTAAGTTTGATTTGCAACCATTCATGAATTCACGACACTAATTTCCTTTTGATGTAAATGTACCTACACTGTTTGTGGAACAGATAGAGAATCCTTATAAATGTATTTTTACTTGTAAATACAATGTCTGACAAAATATGAGAGCTTGGAGAGAGAGAGAGAGAGAGAGAGAGAGAGAGAGAGAGAGAGAGAGAGGAATGAGAGAGACTTAATGTAAATATTTATCCAGTGGGCATAAATCATGAATTTTTAATGTGAATTCAAGAGCAGGGGCCAGAATGTTCAATAATTGTTCATTTTTTTGTCATCGTTTTGTGTTATGTAGTACTTTTTTTTAAAATGCAACAAAACAGTAAAAACATGAGTTCAATGAAAATAAAGAGCCCATGTAGATGGAAAAGCAAAAAAAGAATCATGAAATTGCATGGGTGGAAGAAGAAAGAAGAATAAGAACAAAAGGAGTATGCAAAGAGAAAAGAAAATTCAAGCTAGAATTTTAGAACTAGACGTTAGTATATATGTCTATATTATTTTTGTGTTGTCTTTCTCGATGTGAATGTCTTTTCTTTTCATGCTATGTCCTCACTGAAATGTCATTTTCTCTTTAATAATGCATTTAAAGTATTATTATTATTATTTGCACAGTGTTTGATATTTTGTGGTGCATGTTTATATTCTGTCAATTGTATTTGCCATTTAATTCATTCATTTGTAGAAGTGTGCATTATTACATGTAAGGAAGCGCAAGTGCTTTTCACTTGTCAATGGGGAAGATTTTGATTAAAAATGTTTCTATGAAATGTCATTTCTGTTTTCTAGAGCAACAATATATGAAATACATAGTAACACTTTAGAGTACAGAAGCTGTGACATCATAAACATCTATTTTTAGAATTTCTCAATTTGAACTTTATTTTCAGAAAGAGCATCAAAGTAATGTCCAAATGTTGAAAATCAATTGAATATGGCTGCGATATGCTCATCCGAATGAATTACTATTACCAGAGCAAAATAACAGTGATTTCATATTGAAATTAACTCATTGGGATTGGCATATCGCAGCCAATACCAGTACTCAAAATATTCAATTGGTTTTTTTTATGCTCTTTCGGAAAATGAAATTCAAATTTGGAAACTCTAAAAAAATAGTTTTTTTATGACGTCACACTTGACCACTCTATAAAGGCTTGATCAGACAATGCGGTAAACCACCAAAAAAGAACCCACAGCATTTTTTTTACGTGTAAAAATGAGTGCATGCAACAAAACTTGTGCTTATTCACCAAGCTTTGTTACAAGATGCTGAAATGTGAATGGTGTTCCACTTTATAATCTTAAACAAATTTTGGTGGTTTTGCCACATCCCATCTGAACAAGCATGAGGTAGAAAATAGGTACAGGAGAAAAACAGGAAGAGAGAGAGTGAGACAGAGAGGGAGAGAGAGAGAGGTCAAGGGGAAGGAAGAGAGAAGGGGGGGGGGGGGGAGATGGAGAGAGGATTACGAGAAAAGAATGGAAAGAGATAGAGGGTAAAGTATGGGGGAACTGCATATAGGAGGAAGGGGTCGTAAGATTAAAGGGAGTAAGAGAGTGGAGGGTAGAGTGGACATGGAAATATGTGAGGGCAGAGAGAGTAGAAACTAGAGAAAGAGGGATGGGAGAGGTCAAGGGGAAAGAAGGGAGAGAGGATTACGAGAAGAGGATTGCGAGAAAAGAAGGTGAGATAGAGGGTGGTAAAGTATGGGGGCACTGAATATACATGTAGGAGAAACAGGTGGTAAGATAAAGGGCGGTAGAGAGAGAGGAGGGTGGAGCTGAGGGATTCGGAGTTGATAGCCAACTCTTATATCCTTATTGGTAGAAAGATGCCAGAAGAACAAGAAGTGTGTGAAGATAGTATTACAGATGAACACAGACGGAAAAGGAATTTAGAAATGTGCACAGAAGGATGAGGTACAGACATTCATAATAAAGCTCCAACAAAGAATAAGGAAGTCTAGTTAAACGATGCTTTGATGTTAAACGACTGAATTTAATTTCCCTCTTTTGAAAAGAATTGTACCAAAGTGATGGCTGCTTTACAGCTGATTAACTAATTGTTTTACATAACAAATTAATCCATATATGATTTTAAATATGTTAAAGAAAACAAATTTCTGAAATAGGCTCTCATTATATCTAGAAAGAACAATATAGACAATTTATGGACACATTCTTTTGTAAAGACGTATCAACTATAACTAAACTGAATGTTTTGGGCATACAACTGCGCTTCTACAAAAACAGTGCATATTATAAAAATACATTTTTAAATGTTCAAATTGTGGTATCATATTAAACACAGCTGCATTTGAGACACATGTACCAGTAAACATATATATTTTCTCTGGGTTGCATAGACAAAGGATCAAGAATAGAAAAATAATTTGTTTGAGTTGTGAAAGGCAAGATAAAGGAGGTTTCAAATGTTTTGAAGACATATCTGTTCTGGAACCATGCAGACTAATTAAATCCACATTACAAATTTAGAAAAAGAAAAAAAATGTTCAAATAATTCACACACAATACTACTGCACATTACATTTACAATGCTTTGCTGTTCTGGATCTTCATCCCGATCTAACAGATTTTTTACTGAATAATGAAACAAGAAAAGAAGAACTATATTGGTCAAAAGACACTTCCCATATTTCCCAACAAGATAATGGAAGGAATTGAAGTAAAAGAGATTGATTCATATAAAATGAATACAAATCGCATACAAAAATATATATAAAAGTCTTTGAGGATATAAAAATTGACTAATACCAACCATTTTCTGTACCACTGCAAGGCACTTTTATCATCAGACATACATGATTTCAATTTTGACATTTTCAATGGACACTGGATGATAAATGATGTAAAAATAATAATTAATCAAAATCCTTTTTCAATCATGCAAGTTGAAGTGCACACATTACGTAAAAATTGATTTTTTAGTTGCTTTTTCTAAATGTAAATCAATGACAATGAATCATAAAAATCTATCGTATATTTTCCAATCTTGCTGTAATTTATCGTATCTTACCATGCATTAAATATCTGTAACAGGAAAAATAATTGTGGATTACTATGTTGATGGAGATACAATTTATAATGGGGGATATACAATCAAGCAAGTATCATTATAAGTATTATATATCTGTAAAGCGCTTAGAGACATCGTAGATGTAGTAAGTGCTATATAAAAGCGGAATATAATCATTGTTATTATTATTATTATTATTATGGGACAGGGCCCTTGATGGATTATGACATCAATCAAGTTTTGTTACATTAAACAAAAACACGCCTTTTCCCTGAATATGAGGATGTTTACATATATATATATATATCTAAACATAAAAGTTGACAAGTGACTCATATTAATTGTAAGTTAACAATTACAGAAAAGTTTTAGTTGGTTGATAGAGATACAATTAATATTGGGGGAGATACAATCAAGCAATTAACATTATGATGAAGGGCCCGGGATAGTTTATGACATCAATGGACTTTTCTTACAATAAAACACCTTTTTCCCTGAATACCAAGAGCAAGGTTTATATCTAAACGTAACGGTTGAAAAGTGACTCGTATTAATTGCAAGTTACCAATTACTGAAAATTCACAATTGATTGATAAAGATACAATTAATATCAGGTGAGATACAATCAATCAAAACTCATTATGATAGAGGGCCCTGAACGGATTATGACATAAACCAAGTTTTGTCACAATAAGACACCCTTTTCCTGAATATGAGGGGGTTTATATTTAAACATAACAGTTGACAATTAAGTGACTCATATTAATTGTAAGTTACCAATTACAGAAAAGTTTTAGTTGGTTGAAGGAGATACAATTAATAATGAGGTGAGATACAATCAAGCAAAATTCATTAGGATACAGGGCCTGAATGGATTATCACATTAGCAAAGTTTTGTTACAATAATTACGAAGAATAGGATTATATCTAAACGTAAACGTAACGTAAACGTAAAGGTCAACAAGCGTCTTTTATTAATTGTAAGGGTTATCAATTACTGAAAAGTTACAATTTGGTGAAGGAGATTAATAATGGGGGAGATACAATCAATCAAAATTGGATGGTTTACGACATCAACCAAATTTTCTTACAATAAAACACCTTTTCCCTGAATATGAAGAACTAGTTTTATATCTAAATGTAACGGTTGACAAGTGTCTCATATTAATTGCAAGTTATCAATTACTGAATAGTTATAATTTAGCATACAATTAATATTGGGTGAAATACAATCAATCAAAATTCATTATGGGACATGCAGGGTCCTGGATGGCTTATGAAATCAACCAAATTTTGTTAATACGATAAGACACCATTTTCCCTGAATAAGAAGAGGTAGGTTTATATTTAAACGTAACGGTTAACAAGTGACTCGTATTTCTCCTGTTGGCCAGAGGTGACGGCAGGCTCTCCAGCTTTCTTGATGAATGCCTAATACACAGGAAGGAATAAGACCACGCATTGTAAACATAAACTCGTCAAGATAAGAATGACGATAATAATTATATAATGATGACGATAATGATATGATACAAATAAAAGAAGGAATATAAAGCAACATGGACAAAAAATTGAAAATAATTATTAAATGTGCATTTAAAAATCTTAACTTGTTGCCAATTAACATATTGTAATGTTGATTTGCCTTTAAAAAATCCACTATATCAAACACCAAAGGCAACAAAATATTTACTTTATATTACAGAAATCTCTGCTTTTCTTCTTGTTCATCTGGTACAGCTTTTAGGGCAAGGGTTGCTTTTTACCAAAACAAAAAAACAGCCCTTTTTTTCTTTACCACTTGAAGTAAATTAAAGCATATCTTTTAAGAATTTCAGGACTCGTATTTGGCAGCAATAATTCTAAAATATACAATTCTGTTCCCACTGCAATCTCAATGAAAACCCAATAATATTCTATTACCGGTATATGTTTTGTAGTGGCTTTAATAAAGGTATAGAATAATAAATGATGTAGAAATGTTGGCCTCATATGGAATAGAACAAATAAAACATTCATTTCATTCAAAGCAGATAAGATTTTTTATTTTATTTACTAATTTACCTCGCATTCCTGGAGGGTAGCCGTGCCTTCTGCTATTTTCAGTCCAATACCATGGGTGAAGCTGGAATAACGATCCTAAATATAAAATAAAATGGAAAAGTAATGTAGGTATTAGCTCAACTACTTTGGTCTCTTTCTTCACCTCTCTTCACGATTACCTACCGGCAAAAGTGGCAAAACTCTTCTTCTATATTTATCTTTAAAGCCCTTCTGTACTAGCTTGGCCAGGAGGGATTCGACCTCCCTGCAAGGTCACTGACAGGTGGTTATCTCATCAAATCAGCTCTCAATTAACATAAGAAAAAGAGGATCATGGGGGACCAACGGGCACCGCTTAGGCAGCATTGTTTGCTATATAGAGGGTGCAAGTAGCTACAAGTAGTGCAGTCCCGCTTTGAAGGGCTATGTAGCCTATCATGAAGATCTGTTGAAAGATTACCAGTTTTGGTATGCAGGCACACTACACACCTGGTTCACACCCTGGTATGCAGTTCTTTACATGTTTTAAGAAATAAAATGTCTAAAACATTTTAACAGTATCAAACACACAAAGCTCTGTGAAATAAGGAAACTCCTAATTCCATGTACATGCTATATTAGACAGCACTAGCTGGGATAGTACAAATAGCTGATGAAGTATAGTTTTATACTTTTCTGTCCATTATATAATGACAGCAAAAAGAAATCAGTATCTTTTAATAATAATAATAAGTAGATTCTTATATAGAGTATAATACTCAAAAGGCCTCTATATGTATACAATCAAATAAGTGAATAATTAACACATTATCATATCAAATTTGATGTGTTAAATGTTTTTTCTTTTTAATTTGTTTTAATGAATTAAAGATAAAATAAATATAAATATCAACAATTTTAAAAAATTGAGGAAACCCACCTCTACCATCTTTTGGAGGTGCCCCTCAGAGATGATCTTGGCAGCATTGCGTAGACCCCTGGCAAAGGAATCCATGGCCCCGATGTGAGCGTAGAACATGTCCGCTAAGTCTGTGGACTCTCGTCGGACCTTGGCATCAAAGTTGAGACCACCAGGTGCCACCCCACCCTGGTCAATGATGCACTGCAGGGGGTAAGACAAACCAATGGTAAACCATTTTCATGTGACAATGACAATGACATTTATTCTCATGTCACCCATAATCAGGGTATTGGAGAATACAATCATATATTTTTCAAACCAACCAAAAACTGTACTAAAAAGAACTTGTTTATAGACATCTTCTGCTTATAAAAATAAAACAATATGAGACTATATTTAAATTGTAATCATATTGCCTGAATTGAAGAAAAGGGCAATGTGTGATACATAATGGGACCATTTACACAGTGCAAACACCATTAAAAAAATATCATCCATTTACTGCGGAATTGTACCACAGTTTCTCAAGCGGGCATTTAAACACTGCAAAAAGTGGTGACATTTCGGCAGGTCTTCAAAAAAAAAACACACCAGAGGTGGATTTGTTTGTTTTGTTTCTTTGTCCTGTTTTCCGGTAGGTACTATGCAACTACCGAAAAAAACATAAGAATGTGAATTTTTTGCTTGCAGTGTAATCGCAGCTATGAATCGTACAGGCAGCCTACCTTGCAGATAGCCGTAGCTCCTCTGATATCCATGGGGAACTGATCGGTATCCCAGCCAAGGTCAGGCGATCCGGTGTTAGCATCAATCGAGCCAAGCATACGAAGACTGCAAGAAAAGAAAATGAGAGACATAAACATACATATATTTCTGTAATAATAAAAATAATACCGGTAGTTTGTGCGAATTTCAGGACCACAGGCCCTCTCAAAGCGCTTTACAGATATATATATATATATATATATATATATATATATATATATATTCATTGGTCATAAGAAGTGACCAGCAGGCAGAAGGGTTGAGTTTACAACTAGAATAATACAATATAAAATTATAAACATAGAATGTGCAAAAGAAGTATAGTGTACATTGCTTCAGTAGGCCTACACATTTGATATCAAAGAGATAAGGAGAGATAAAGGTACAGGAGGTAGCCAAGGAGAGGAGAGAGCATGAGAGAGGAAGGGAGAGAGAAAGAGTGAGAGAGTGAGAGAGAGAGAGAGAGAGAGAGAGAGGGGGGAAGGGAGGGACAAAGACAAGAAAAGTATAAATGTAAATGTAATAATGAATTGTCAGTGTAATCTGTTCTCTTAACCCACTGCTGATGAGAAAAATGAAATCAATTGTCAACATCCAGTTCAAAGGCCAAAGGTTAAATTGAGTTTTAGTAACTTGAAAAATACATTGGACCAATTCAAGGAGATAAATGCACTACCGGTATATTGATTCATATCGACTCACACAACAATGTGCAAAACCGTTTTTATCTGTAATGTATGTCCATTGTTTGCATAGACTTTGAGATACATACAATAAAGTGTTAGCCGGATTCTTTAAACAGATATTCAAATATCATCACTCAGCCCAGTCACTCAATTATTGTCTCACACTTCAGTACACCCCTTCAAGTAAAGAATCATGTTAAGACATGCATCTGCAACACATTTGCTGTGGTTATTTCTGTTGGATCACAGTGAAATAAATATTCATATCTGTGTGGTATACTAGTCCAGATAATTTGAAATGATACATCAATTCCCAATAACTCTCCATTAATGTTGAAATTTGGGCAAAAGTTTAAACTGGAATGGAAATGTGAATTGAATTGAATTTGATTTGAATTGAATTGAATTGAATTGAATTGAATTGAATTGAATTTGAATTGAATTTGAATTGAATTGAATTGAATTGAATTGAATTTGAATTGAATTTGAATTGAATTGAATTGAATTGAATTGAATTGAATTGAATTAAATTTGAATTGAATTGAATTTGAATTGAATTGAATTGAATTTGAATTGAATTGAATTGAATTGAATAGAATACTGGATGGAAAGATGAACAATTTATCATACTCACGCAGAAGCCATAACGATGTCATGCTCATACGCATGTCCAGCTAACATGGTATGGTTTGGTTCGATGTTCAATTTGAAATCATTCTGTAGATTAAAGTGCTCCAAGAAACCAATCACTGTCATTGCATCTAAAAAATAAAAAATAAACAACATCAAATCATCTTGATCTTAAGGTGCTTTCAATGATTTGAAATAATAACAAATAGACATTAATTAAAGTGTGAGCTGCCTTGTCCAAAAAATCGGGGAGAATATATATATTCCAAACAAAATTCAGTTATTCATCATGGGGTATTATATTGAAAGTTGATTCATGACACAGTTCGGGAAGGAAGAGGGAAGTTGGTCCACTGGGTTTAACCACTTCGATAGCAGTTTTGAGGGTAACAGGCAAGAGAGAAGAAATGGGAGACAGTGGGGCAGTATTCCTAGAAGGGGGAACCTAGATTTTTTTTTTCAAGTCTTATCTTTTCCACACCTATGTTAAAAAGAAATTGCTTTGCATTTTCAGTGCCTTACAATTTATATTTTCACTCTCAAAGGTAATTGCCCCCCCCCCCCCCAAAAAAAAGATATGCATTTAGATGTTTACCATAATCATACTGGTGCCTGGTGGGTTCTTTGGGTTTGGGTTCAATTAAAAGCTGACCAGTGAATCCAATCTCATTCTTGTACTCTGTAAAAAAAACAGGGAAAAATTACATCATAGGTCAAAGGTCAGCAATAAATCTCAAACATAACATCACATCACATACATTAATCTACCGTCATCTAGACAATTGATCAATATTGCTTATATATCAATTCAGCTACATTCCTGGCAGCAGTTTTATCAATCAAACCAAACCTTCAATTGATCAATCATGTGATAAATAACATACAGGGGAATGAATCAATTAATTGATGTATAAATCTATTTTTTGTGTAATCTATTCAATCATCTACATGTATCTCATCTATCTTAACCTATCTATCTATCTATTTTTCTTTCCATCTATCTATATCTATCTATCTATTTCATAATCAATCTAAATTTATCTATCTAACTATCAATCTACCCATCTATCTATCTATCTATCTATCTACATGTATATATCTATCCATCCATCCATCTATATAACTATCTATTTATATATCCATTTATTTATCCATCTATCCATTTATCTATCCATCTATCCATTTATCTATCTATCTGAATATCTTTCTAGCCATCTATATATCTTTCTATTTCTCCATATATCTATCCATCTATCTATTTCTTTATCTGTCTCCGTCTATCTTTATATTTATATATCTAAACGTAACATGGTATCTACCGGGTACATTTAAGTTTATTTATCTGTGTATTTCAAGATCTACGTATCTAATTTCAATAATGTCCACATTTGTAAAATTTTTCACTTACTAATGGCCATCTTGAAGAAGTTTGCCATGTGGGAGAGCTCCCCCTGTAGGTCAGTATTGAGCAGGCTCTGGTAGCCCTCTCGTCCTCCCCAGAAAACTAAAAATACAACAGAAATCAGTAAAGTTACATACTATCAAATCTAGTTACCGTATATAACGGTGTATAAACCGCACTTTTTTGCCGCCGAAAAAATTTCAAAGTCGGGGGTGCGGTTTATACACGGTTTCAATTTATGCCCCTCCACCTGGCGCTATGCCTGGCAATGTCTCCCAGCTCGGTAATCGGTGTGTTGACTCACCACTCGGAAACTAGAACAACACTCAAATTTGTCTGTCATCTTGGTTTGAAAGTAATCTTTCTGATAGATCTCAATATGTAGTTTATAATAATAATTCCTCCAATTTTTCTTCTATTACATGGTGTACCACAAGGTTCTATCCTAGGTCCCTACTGTTTTTTAATTTACAGTACCGTAATGATCTTACACACACAAAAAAAAATCTCGGCAAAATTTTTTTTTTTTTTTTTTTTTTTTTTAAGGGCGAAAAAGAGGGGTGCGGTTAATACACGAGGGCGGTTTATACAACGTTATTTACGGTATCCATATACTTTATACTTTTAATGTAAGCTCACATCAAAAAATAAATACCTTGCTTTGCAAGAAGTGATTTAACGAGACAATTTTAATCATAATAATAAATAATAATATGGATATTTATATAGTGCCGGTATCCGCCAGGCTCTGACGCTCATGGGGCTGTACATAATTAAACATAAATTGTGACATAACAGTTAGATGGCTATGTTCTATGATATAAAACAGACATGAACAAATGTAAAACAGGAAAATTGGCATGCATGAAATTTTTCCAAATTTTCGATGTATACAAAGAGGCCGAGATTCACAAAGTTTCAAGAAGTAAAAACAGGCTGTTACAAGCCATTCACAGAGAGTGAGCTTTAATAGTATGATGTAAGCAACTCACCAAAGTTTACTCCTCCCAGTTTCTTGCCAACCTCTAGTCCTTTCTTCACAGCTGCTGCTGCGTAGGCTACAACATGAGCATCAGGGTTTGTCGCACCTCCATTCATGTACCTGTTACAGTAAGAGAGGAATTCTTGGTCAGTGTGCATGTTCAAACACGGTCTTTAATAAGAAGATTCACATCTGCAGCTTTGCATCTCTGGAACTCTCTCCCCACTAAAGTGCATTGTTATTTTCTCTGAAGATGAAATGCGCTATAGAATCCTAGGTTATCATTATTATTAAAGTTTAAGTTCAAGTTCAATTTCATTTAATTCCAATGAAGGCATATATATACATACAAATCAGAAATACAGAACAGATGGAAAATCATCTTAAATGTAATCAAGGGTACCATAAAAAGACCAAGGCTTGCACAGTCTTGTCAAGATAGTCCCCTTGTGAAATTAAAGTAAAAGTGCTTAAAGGCAAGAGAGGATATTTAAACAGTAAGTTATATGAATATGCACAAAAAAAAAAAAAATTGTAGATTAAAAGATGAAATAAGACATAGAACAATATATAAAACATGGGGCAAAAAATAAAAAGACCAAAACAAAATGTATAGCTTTAGACTGAAAATTCAGAAGGTAAAAGAATGGTCACAGAGGAATAAAGTTTTAACCTTGTCTGAATGAACCAGCTTAACCTTCTCAAATAGGCACAAAATCATTTTGGGGGTTATTCTTTAGACTGTATAAACCTGTTTGAATAACTTTTAACATTACAGAAACTGGCAATTTCCATTTTACAATGTTCATATTCATGAACTAGATTATGCACTAGATGAGACAAAGTCTCTTTTCCTGAAAAAAATTTCATAAATTTGAACTGTACCTGTTTCAGTAAAAGAGGATTTAAAAAAAAATAAATTGTCAACTCAAAATTATTTTATTGAATGTCTTTTGAATGGACGTAAATTTTTATATTTGTATCTATATACCATGTAAATACCACAAATTTCTATTGTAAAATGGACAATAGATATGAACATTAGGAACCCTGTGAATCATCAAATTCTTTGCAGACTTTCACTTTTTCCCATTTTCTTGATTGTAAAGTAAAGTTGAAATTACCCTTTATTATATATCACACAGGAAATGCTGATACACGTAACATGATAATAGAGACAAATGATTTGAAAGAACCTGTCACATATTACCTTTTGTGAGAGAAAAGGTTACAAGTGTTCCATAGAAGCTTGACTCCAGTTTTGTTCTGGAGTTCCAGAGCTAGATCAACGATCTCATCGAGATTGCGGTTAGATTCTTCTATGGTAGCGCCCTCTGGAGCAACATCTCTGCCAATCAGGAAGAGGAATATATAAAAACGATAATAAAGAAGAAAAAACAAAATAAAGGAATTTGGAAGTGTCAGTCTTGCCAGGCAAGATCTATGGTAATCCCTTCAGAGGGGTGTTTCACAAAGATCCTAAGTTGAACTTGGACTTAAGAATTATGGAAAGCCGTCAGCTAGCATCTTTGAAAATATTTTGTAGAAGTTATTTTAAAAAGCATAAAATGTTGATTCATATCATCCTTATTGCCTATCATCATGGGAGATTTCATGTCCTTAATGTGGAATTTATGAAAAGTCTAAAATACTTCAATTTTGGCTTTTGAATATATTTCATTTGAAGGCTACAAATGGCTCTCCATAACTTTTAAGTCCAACTTAGAATCTTTGTGAAACACCCCCCAGTTCCACTGCTCCCCACTAAGGCTCCGTTCAGATATGACGCACCAAAACTGTGGCGTTAAAAAAAATGATAACTTAAAGTTTACTACCCATCAAATTTCTGTATCTTATAACGCAGTGCTCAGTTAATACTGTATGTGCAGGACCTGTGTTACGCACAGTTGCCATTCGTTTACACGTTAACAAAATGAATGTGGCGGTTTATCGCAGCGGCTTACTGCACCATATCTAAAATGAGCCTTAAGTACTCAAACAATTATCATACATGAACTTTGAAATGAGTTATAATGCCTCTTTTATTGCTAAGACCCCGTTCTCACTCACTTCGTTGGAGCTCTCTGGAGTGCTCTAACTAAGACCCGCTCCTCAGGAGCGGTTCTTAGGTGAGTGAGAACGCTCAAAGTGGTCCAGGAAGCGGACTTCTGGACCGCTCCAGAAGTCCACCTTCCGAGGTGGTCTTGAGGAGCGGGTCTTATTAAGAGCGCTCCAGAGCGCTCTAACGTGCAATGTGAACGGAAAGCGTACTTTGAACGGAAGTGACGTTCCGCGCGATGAGCGATCGGGCAGGCACTACACATATACATGTATACGGGACGCGTCGCGAACGGGACATCAGGTGACATAGGGTTTGGATTCCGCGCGCGAAAAAATTGACCCGCCTACCTGAGCTGCCATAGCAACAAGACCACTTTGACTCGTGGAGCGGTTTGAGCCATAAAAACTGCTCGGAGTGTGAACGCTTGCAAACCATTCCTCAAGACCCGTTCCTCTGGAGCGGTCTGGAGCGGTCTAACTAAGACCACTTTCAAAGTGAGTGAGAACGGGGTCTAAGCCTGGGCTGTAAAACAAAATAACTAAAGGAAAACTTTCACAATATAGGCCTTGTTCATGTAACTTTATGCTGTGTAGGTTCTTCTAAAGTAAACAATGAACCAACTCGTGTAATGTTGATAGGGGTGTATTTGTAGAGTTACCTGGATAGTACACAGGCTAGTTAAATAACACAAATATGGCTCAATGATATGCAGTAGGAGTAAATATAATTATCAGAGATATGGCAGAGATAAATGCTTGACTTTGCCCCATGTGACAACATACCGGTATTACATAATGGGTATTTTTTTTACAAGATACAAAATCTGTTATCTTATTCTGTGACATGTGTAAGACACATGAATGTAAATGGACCAAGGTAAAACAAAAAACAAAAACAAATTAAAAGCTTCTGCTTTCATAGCCTCATTTTTTGTTCAAACTCTCAAATAGACAGTAAAAATCTCAAAGACCAACATTTTCTGATGGAAGATATACAGACTTGAATGTGATACATATAGTTGTAATTAAAGAACGGGGAACACTTAGCTAAGTTAAAAATTCTACAATGGTGAGTTAACACTTTATCATAATAGCGTTTCGGACCAACCTGTCATGGATTGGCCACTAATGCCTACCTGAGTGAGAAACTCCAATGTGATGCACTGATCATGGAATGATCAGTGCATGTCTAATACCTGGCTACATGTATGTCGAATGTGGTGAGTTCATACATTACTTTAAGAGTGTTTTGGACTAACCTGTCGTGGAACGACCAGTATTTAATGCCTAGCTTGGTGAAGAACTCAAAAGCTACCCTCAGCCTCCTCTTGGCATTCTCTAGGCTTTCACTATCTATATAGACAAAGAATGGGGAAAGAGAAAGAGAGATCGAGTTGAGAGAGGGAGATGCAGAGAGATAGAGACAGTAAGGGAGGGTGGGAGAGAAAGAGAGAAGAGAGAGAGAGAGAGAGAGAGAGAGAGAGATGCAGAGAGATAGAGACAGAAAGGGAGGGTAGGAGAGGGAAGAGAGAAGAGACAGTAAGGGAGGGTGGGAGAGAAAGAGAGAAGAGAGAGAGAGAGAGAGAGAGAGAGAGATGCAGAGAGATAGAGACAGAAAGGGAGGGTGGGAGAGAAAGAGAGAAGAGAGAGAGAGAGAGAGAGAGAGAGAGATGCAGAGAGATAGAGACAGAAAGGGAGGGTAGGAGAGGGAAGAGAGAAGAGAGAGAGAGAGAGAGAGAGAGAGAGAGAGAGGGAGAGATAGAGAGAGAGAGAGAAAGTTTAATGACACAAAAACTCATCTTCTTCTCCAGATTTAAAAAAAAAGAAGCTGAATTTCAAAGAATGAATGACAATTTTACATGATTGCAAATATGTACGGTATACAGCAAAGCTTTTGTTCTTGCACACTCAAACATCAACCAGGTTACTCACAAATTACTTTACCTTTATTTTAAGTTTTGGTTTACAAGCTGGCAAGAATATAGTTTTAGAAAATGGAATAAAGGATAGCGCACATGGAAGTCCACCGAAGGAAAGTTAACAACAACAACAACAAAACAAAACCCCCCCGAAATCCCCTTTCAACTTCATTACATCTAATGAGAGATTTTAATTAAGTAATTCAAAAGCAACAAGACACTAGGTTAAATACTGGGCTAGAAATAAGGCTAGAATTTGGTCTATTATATTTACCGTCATCCCACTCTCTAGTTATGGTTGGTCCTCCAAAGGGGTCCAGACCTACACCCCTGAAGGTGTGCCAGTAACAGACCGAGAACCTGAGCCACTCTGCCATGGTCTTGCCGAGGATCTCCTGTTGGGACCAAAATAACAGAACAATCATGAATTTAGAAATTTACGTCTGTCACTTTGACATGACTTTGTTACAAATTACATTTTCCAGAGTGCACGCAGAGCTACATGTATTAGTTATTGACATATTAACAACAGATTTAGACCTTCAGCAGTGTGAACATTGTGTTTTATGAACAAAAGCAATTTCAAGACTTTATAAAGAAAAAGTGAGAATTAACACCTTGGAAATATCTTCAATTCAAAAGAAGAACTGTGAAGATTTAAAGATATTTAATATCAATACTCTTAATAATGATAATGGTTATGATGATTACAAAAATAAAAAAATAACAACAATAATACCCATAACAATGATAATAATAATAATAACAATAACATAAATAATGATATTAGATATTTTCATAGTGCATAACCACAATGCAAGGTGCTCAAGGCATCGATTACACAGCTCTGCTAGGCTACCGATTTCAAAGCTCACATCACTCACATAATCCCTTTCTAATAGTACCCATTTAAGACCTATAGTTGGTCATTGTAGATAAATGTCCGATCAAAGGAACTTGAACCGTGAACCGGGTGATCTAGTGATCTAGAGTCCGAAGATATACCCACTAGACCACGGCACCGCCACATATTTAACAACAAATTTAATCAATTTAAATCATCGTACCTCATCTGCATTGTAGTGTTTGTAGCAGAGTAAATCGGTTGGCTTGGCATCAGGTTTGTACTTAATCTTGTTGATACCTGCATCAGATAAATGAAGAAAGAAAAGTATAATATACACTGGAATGGAGAAATGACTACACCAAACTACATCTACAAGGAAACAATTTATTAACCCGAGTTACAACAACCTTTTTAAAAACCTACAAATTATGTATTGGGAATTATTTTTTCATAAAACATAACAGACCAGGAGAAAATGTTTGTATGTACAAACTGACAGTGCACCACTAACACGAAAGAATGAAACGTATTTATACTCTTTTGATGATAGAACTATTATTATGCTAATTTTCATGTTTTACTAATATTTCTGCAAGGTAAGAGCAATTATCTCATCGTCTAAAAAGAACCACAGGCAAAATCAGATTGATAGAAATAACACCTACAAATCACCTTTGAATTTATTCAAATTCATTAAAATTTTCAAAACAGATGAAGACAATATGAATATACCCTTACCCTTCTATTGAAATGAATGCTCTCACAAACCTACTAGATCAATAAGTTTACACCCCCCCCCCCCCACCAATAAAAATGGAGAATTTATAGGGCCTATCCCCCAAATTAGTGGCTGCAAGGTGTTTCCTGCCCCTTGTCCTAGCAGGTTTTAGACACAATCATTTCTAAGGAAGCTGTGATGCAAGACAGTTTATTCAAGGATATTAACCATTTCCTGCACCAGGTGTGGGTTTGGGTGGGGGGGGGGGGAGGCACTTGCGTTCATTTTCGCTTAAATTCATCAATGATCCAAGAAAAAATTGGGAAAGGCTTGAAGAAATTAGTGGGAGAAGGGAGAAGGGGATGGGGGGGGGGGGGGGTGGATGACTGACTAGCTGAGCTGAGCCCCACGGCCCAAAACTCCCCTCTAGCAGAAGATGCGCAGAGCCAATATGGGATACCAATTTCCCTTTATTTGAATTTGCTGCAAAGGGATTTTCGTTTGCTCAAAATAAATTGACTGTTTTCTTTAAAAATACACCATCTAATTAAGTTTTTGTTATGATCCCTACACAAAACCAATGGGCTCCTGATCTCAGAGAGGCAAAAAACTGGCTTGCCTTATTGTTGATGTTATTTATTTGGTTCTTTTGTAAGTTAATTAGTCTCCAATGTCATGAATATGGGAGACAGTTTCTCATATTGGCCATGCAGCAATTATTCTCCCCCCCCCCCCCCCCCCCCACCCACCGATCTCTCTCTCTCTCTCTCTCTCTCTCTCTCTGCTGGTCAAATCAATGTAATTAAATGAAGAAAAACAAAGTTTAAAACAAGTTTGGTGCATTTAAAACACAATGAATTGTTAACCTAATTGTAGACCCGAAATATATTTGTGTTATATAGACTTCTCTAGACCTACATTATACATGTACATAGGTCAGTTCAATGCAACAGGTGTGCTGCCATGCAGTGGAATGCAGGCAGAGACATAGAACGTACCTGGGAAGAATTCGTTTGCCCCCTGGTTTTCCTCTGTTTTCATGAATATGGGAGACAGTTTCTCATATTGGCCATGCAGCAATTATTCTCCCCCCCCCCCCCCACCCACCGATCTCTCTCTCTCTCTCTCTCTCTCTGCTGGTCAAATCAATGTAATTAAATGAAGAAAAACAAAGTTTAAAACAAGTTTGGTGCATTTAAAACACAATGAATTGTTAACCTAATTGTAGACCCGAAATATATTTGTGTTATATAGTATACAAATAATGAATGGTTATGAGTTCAATAGTGCGAATATGTTCATGAGTTGAAAGATTAACATTCTATTCAACGAGGCGTCAGCCGAGTTGAATAGAATTAACGTTAATCTTTCAACGAATGAACATATTTGCACTATTAAACGAATGAAAAGCATTCATTATTTGTTTTATACAACATCGAAGAAGACCTAATAGAACGTTAATCAACAAATTATGCTTCACTCCTTATAAAGATAAATTAAAGTTCGAGTCAAGCCTTCTCGATTACATGCACATTGCCTTCGCGTCAGATACACGCAGGGATACGCGCACATGCAGCAGAGAGGTACGCAGTCTGCATATAACCAAAAATGCACGGCGCATATAACCAAAAATGCACGACCGTGCAATATACCATCTATTGAATATCATGTGACCAACAATCGTCCAATCAAATGACAAGGATCCACGTAGGTGTTGTATAAACTTCTCTAGACCTACATTATACATGTACATAGGTCAGTTCAATGCAACAGGTGTGCTGCCATGCAGTGGAATGCAGACAGAGACATAGAACGTACCTGGGAAGAATTCGTTTGCCCCCTGGTTTTCCTCTGTTTTCGCTCTCTTCGACTTGTGTTGAGACATTGTCACTGGTGAAATTATTACGATTCCCTTCAAAACCCAGAACTTGTAAATTGAAAGTTGAATCAACTATAGGCTACTGGCTGGAAGAGCGAATTCCAAAAGAACTGCAGAGGATCGAAGCTAAGTCGGTCTTCACGAAATTCATGTACTGTCGAGTTGGCCGTATACGCAATACATGCATACAGCTAGTGCACGAAAATTGATAAACACGTATACTGTGGGCCTACAGAACACGCATTGCAGACAGATAAACGAGAGGGGCGTGACTTGTTTACGGGCTTGTTTATTACCCTAAAAATGAGAATCAGCGTGTTGCGGCTCATGCACGCATGGGGCGAGGGAGTGGGTTGGAGTGGAGGGGGAATAGGCCTTATCGCAAATAGCCTTTGTCGCTGGCGGGCGCTCTTCGCGCAAAGGCTTCTGGGATAGAAAAGGGAGCAAACACGATCCCCGCTTTCAGGAAGCCATACAATGCCATACGTTTAGTGTAGTACTACTCAAAGTCCAAGCTATTTTTAATCAAATTTACTGCTCTTTCAGCCGCAGTTTGTAACCGATTTGATACTCATACCCAGAGCTACAGAACTAATCTTTGTTTTGTGGTACTTCACTGCAATAATGGCGGATGGAGCTCGTAGGTTTTTACAGCTTTCAGCCACTGAACTGAAGAAGTTTTTGAGGGATAGGCGCGTACCAGTCAATGATGAAAAACACGCTGAACTTGCTGAAAAAGCCTACTGGGCAGAAAAGCTTGATTTGCAGGTAAAGCCTTCTGATCAGAAAGCTGAGCAAGAGATTTTAAAGTGTCAGCAGGAAAAGTTGATACTTGATGATGGTTTAATACGACTTCCAAGACCAGAGACACTTACAGACGGTTGGGAAGATGGTCCTACCAATCTGCCTGACACATCCCGTGACCACATTGACAGTTTCATCAAAGCTGGTGAGTTGTGTTTTTTTAAACATCAAAAGGTTCAATAAAGGATAAATGGTTTTAAAAAATATGTATTTAACTGAAGTATAAATATGAAATCTATGATAAGATTCGGAATCTTGGACTAATGTGGGAGCATCACGTCTCATTTCTGAATCTGATCATCATCAATTCATGGGCATAATATTTTAAACTGTCATAATTTGTTAGGTTCTAGTCTACTCATGTTACTGTTAGTCTATTCATATAGGAATTATTTTTATTTGTTTCTTTGCAAAGGAAACCGCAGAATTGGACTGGTAAAAACAGAAGGGAGGAGAACTCTTGCGCTGGGCAAAGGTCTTTACATGTCTGGTCATGTACAGTCAGTACAATATCATGGCATCAACCCAAAGATTTGCTACTGCTTCGTGCGAGGAAAGGTATATATCAGTGATATTATTTTAATAGACCTACATGTAGAGGTCTAGAATAGATTCATATTTCAAAATAAAATTTAAATGATGAAATTGGTAAAAGAGAAATAGATCTACAGCTTAGTAAATCACAGTATGACTATGTATTAAGTTATGAACCAGTTCATATTCGGAAGAAGTAATGACTCATGCCATCATTATTATTATGTTCTTTCTTCATTCCTATTATTTCACAATTTATAGGTCGTTCCTCAGGTCAAGCTTTCTGAGTCGGCATACTCGACATGGCTAGTACTGCTGAAAGAGACGGGAAGAATCTGCACAGCTGAATGCAACTGTTGCGTAGGGTAAGCTGTTAAAAAATGCAGTTACATAAAATGTAGATATAACTTAAGAATAAATCACCACAAAAGTTGACGTTGACTAGACTCACAGATGCATGAATCTTGATCCAAATATTGAAGTTTCTTTTCTTAGCTAATTTTCATTTTCATTCTAACCCTAAACCAAACCCTAGATTTTGCCTCAAATTTACCCAATGCTTCCATCATTTATACATTTAACATTTTTTAAATAATTAATTAATTTTCGTAACAAGTTTTTGTGACTTCATGACAATAAAAGGGATGGGTAGAGAAAATATTCTTTGTAAGTAATTCTTTTCTCTTTTCATTTTTTTTCTCTCACAGTGTACAGGCCACCTGCAAGCACATTGCGGCTCTCCTGTTTGCTGTAGCAGAAGTAGTGGAGGAAGGTCGCAACGCATCCTGCACGTCACAGCCTAAAGCCTGGGGCCTTCCGCCAAAAAAGAGGATGAAAGAGGCTCTCCATCAACCTCAATTTGCTGAGAACATTAAAGTTGTGGCAATGAAAGAGGATGTTATGCATCAAGAGTTAGACAATAGTAGACCTTATCGTTCGAACTTTGACCCTAGACTCCATTGCCATCGTGCCAGGCGAAATATCAATGATTTCGACCTAGACTGGCTCGCCTCCATCACAAACGGGAACTGTGGTTTGTTAGCGTACACCAAGCGGGAGCCCAATGAACTACAATCAACGCCGAACATTTCAGAGGTCGACAGATACGAAGAGGTAGTCTCTTGTGATTTCCCTTTGACTGTGGCAGAGGCTCTTCAAGATCTTTCAGACATCCAGCTTATGGAAATAAGTACCCACCAGCAACAGGTCATCATAAGAGAAACAAAACAACAGGCGAAATCGAATCTTTGGAAGAAACACAGAGTTGGTCGCATAACTGCTAGTGTTGCTGGGGACTGTGCAGCAGCTGTGAGAAATGGTACTATCCATGGCCACTCCCAAGTTGCACGAGTGATGGGATATTATGGATCAGCATCGTCTTCAGCCCTTCAATGGGGAAAGAGCCAGGAAAAGGTAGCTGTCAAACAGTACACTGCTTACCATCGACTCAAATGCAAGAACTCCAATACAAAGTGTGAGGATACAGGCTTATGGATAAGTACCAAATTTCCATACATTGCTGCCTCTCCTGATGCTATCGTCACTTGTAGATATTGTGGCGAAGGGCTACTAGAAGTCAAAAATCCATACACACAGCGAAGATCCACAATAACTGAGTATGTGACACAGAAGGGAAGCTGCCTTGTGAGCGAAAATGGAACCAACCATCTCAATCGACGTCATCCCTACTTCGCCCAGGTACAATTGCAGCTGTGGGTGTCTGGAAAAAAGTGGTGTGACTTTGTGGTAAGGACAATTGCTAAGGTCAACAATCTACACGTGGAGAGAATCTTGCTCGATGATCAGTACATGGAGAACATCCTACCCAAGATCCACACATTCTTTCACAAAGGGATTGTATCGGAATTTGCTAGCGGCCGAGTCAAGGACATTGTGATTAACAATTCAGTGCAAAAAACAATGAAATCAATGTTGGAGAAGCTTGATGCACCAGCTCGAACAATCAAGGAGGCCAACTTTCCATGTGGCATTTGTAATGACGAATGTGAGGAGTCACCACACGATGAGGACAAAAACAGTATTGGGTGTGACTCATGCGACAGATGGTTCCACTACTTTTGTGTTGGAATCCATGGAGAAGAGCCGTTCCTGAGGCGGAGGAAGTCATCATGGAAATGCAACACGTGTTCCTCAAAACTGAAGGCATGTAAACGGACCCGTCAAGTTTGATACCTTCTCATGTTTCATTGAATACTGTTCATGAAATTAAACACTTGTTTAGATCTGAGGTGCCATGCAAACCCATTGTTGTTTATTGCCAGCTAAAACCGTACTTCCTCATTTGATGGAAATTTAGCCCGTTCTTCAAAACTAAAAATGTGTAGAGGAGTCTTTAAACTTGCGCAACAAAAGGTTGTCTATTTGAATTCTGATGTTAAATCTACATTTGAAGAATTTCCACATCTTACTAATGCCAAATATCTTTCCGAAAATGAATTGGGAGAAATTATTGATATTTAAGAAAGGTAGTCTCAGAAATCAACAGTATTCATAATTTAAATCTCCACTTTCAAGATGAATTGGAAGTTTGTTATCTTGTACATGTATGAAGCATAAACATGTCCTTATTTTTATGATCTGTAAATTTGTGTACATGATACTGATTTCTTTTCATAATGTATATGTATGAGAAAGAAAGTAAATGTTCAATTTAAGACAACTATCTTTCATGGCCTTGTATCTATTCATTTTTGTTAGGTATGGAAAGTTTTGTAATTTATGAAAGAGATAAAAAGAGAGAAATATCTTGATTCCAAAATGTATTAAAACTATCGCAATGAGTGACGATTCAGAAAATAAAATTGATTCAGATATACAACTTGTTTAGTAATGAATAGTAGAGAGAGGGAAGAGATGTATGTGTTGAGCTAAGTATAGAAGATAGGAGGAAGAAATGTACGTGTTGAGAAAAGTATAGAAGATAGGAGGAAGAGATGTACGTGTTAAGAAAAGTATAGAAGATAGGAGGAAGAGATGTACGTGTTGAGAAAAGTATAGAAGATAGGAGGAAGAGATGTACTTGTTGAGAAAAGTATAGAAGATAGGAGGAAGAGATGTACTTGTTGGGAAAAGTATAGAAGATAGGAGGAAGAGATGTACTTGTTGAGAAAAGTATAGAAGATAGGAGGAAGAGATGTACTTGTTAAGAAAAGTATAGAAGATAGGAGGAAGAGATGTACGTGTTGAGAAAAGTATAGAGGAGAGGAGGAAGAGATGTACTTGTTGGGAAAAGTATAGAAGATAGGAGGAAGAGATGTACTTGTTGGGAAAAGTATAGAGGAGAGGAGGAAGAGATGTACGTGTTGAGAAAAGTATAGAAGATAGGAGGAAGAGATGTACTTGTTGAGAAAAGTATAGAAGATAGGAGGAAGAGATGTACTTGTTGAGAAAAGTATAGAAGACAGGAGGAAGAGATGTACGTGTTGAGAAAAGTATAGAAGATAGGAGGAAGAGATGTACTTGTTGAGAAAAGTATAGAAGATAGGAGGAAGAGATGTACGTGTTGAGAAAAGTATAGAAGATAGGAGGAAGAGATGTACTTGTTGGGAAAAGTATAGAAGATAGGAGGAAGAGATGTACTTGTTGAGAAAAGTATAGAAGATAGGAGGAAGAGATGTACTTGTTGGGAAAAGTATAGAAGATAGGAGGAAGAGATGTACTTGTTGAGAAAAGTATAGAAGATAGGAGGAAGAGATGTACTTGTTGGGAAAAGTATAGAAGAGATAGGAGGAAGAGATGTACGTGTTGAGAAAAGTATAGAGGAGAGGAGGAAGAGATGCATGTGCCAAGAAAACTTATGGGAATGCCACATCCCACCGACCAAACCCCCCCCCCCTCATCCACTTTGGTTACTACATTGCTAGCTGGGTATCTCAATTAGGACCCCCAAAAAGAAGATGTTGTATTGCCCTTTGTAACCGACCAAAGAAAATTGAAATCAATGAACGGCTTTAAAAAAAAAAAAAAAATTAATGTTTTTTTTAGAAGAAAAAAATGTATTTAAGTATTTAAAACTGAGAAATATCAGCCAAAGAGTTTTTTTTTTAAAGTAAAAAAAAAAAAAGATTTCCGACCGACCGACACATATTTTGGAATCTTAAGGGCAAATACAACATCTTTTTTTTTCAGGCCTTATATTATTCATTGATTATACAACAGTTTATCTCTATAAAACACAATCACATTCTCTTTCACATTTTAATTCTCCATCTCATACTGCTCGTAATGTAGCCTTTTTTTCTTCTATTCTTTTTTTATTTTGCCAGCTCTCCTTTCTCATTCTTCACACGTTCGCCCTCATGTAAATGACTTTTATTCTCTTATCTTTTTCAATTTCTGCAAATCACAAATCTAAATAAAAAGACACACAAGAAATTTAGGTGCACATACATATATTTCAATGTCTTCACTTTGATGCAAATATCACAAATATTGTCATGTGTTGGCTCTTAAAAGAGCCTTTGGGTTTCTGTTTTCTGACTTTACTGTCCATTTGAAGTGAACCTCACATTACGAGTTCAGAGGTACCAGCATTGGCTGCATGTTCACGATTGCAGAGCACACCACAAGTGCAGACTCCATCAGGTCTATCATCGTCAGGGGAATTGGACCTTGAAGAATGCCAAACTCCTTCATCCTCCCTATAGCACGTTCGACGTGTATACGAGCATTAGCAACCGTCTTTGTCTGGACATCCTCCGACTCGGTGAACTGGTTGGTAGCCTTCGTTGTCCTCATGAAGGGTGGAATAACAACTTTAACTTGTTTTTCCAACAAGAGGTCCTGGATGTTGAATCCGCGATCGGCCATGATGGTATCACCTTTCTCGAACTTGTCTATGATGTTTGACATTTTTACCAACTTCTTGTCTGACGTGTTACCCCCTGCTGGCTTTGACACAAATGAGATGGTCCCACCTGGTGTTATTCCAACGAGACAGGGGAGTGGAGGGGGTGCGTGGAGGGGGAGTGACAGTGGAGCTAGGGAGAGATGATGACGGGTGCCGGGGGAGTGGAGGGGGTGCGTGGAGGAGGGGGAGTGTATGGAGGGAATGGGGGGGGGGGGATAGGAGAGAGAATGGAGCTAGGGGGAGGTGATGACGCGGGTAGGGTTTGGAAGGTGGACGATGCAATAACATCAAACACAATCGAATGGTGAAGAAAAAAGGTCTTTATCGGAGAGGCAGCTGCATGTTAATCATAGCTGATGGCAAACTTTGGACACATAGAAAACCAAAAATATGTATTCTTTTATCAATATTTCTCTTCAAACACCTTTTTTTGTGGGAAATTTTTGTTCAGAAGTGTGTCTTAAATGACATCCTTTTTCACAATTTTGCTATTGAATTTTTGGCAAATTCGGGGCTCACAACACTTTAGAGGGCCGGGCTTCAAATAAAAAAGTATGTTTTTTTATTATAATTTAAGAACGTGATGGAAGCAATTAATGGGGTAGCCTATAAACCTAAACACGCGCACATAAAATTGTAGCCCTTATAAAACGTATAGGTTATTTGCACAAAAGGGCGAACAGATGGCGCACTGACGACAAAACAATATTTAACTTATGCGCGCGCCAACTTATGACCAATCACGGCCGCAAAATGATCGCGTTTTGATGACGTAACAAAAGTACAGGAAACTACTAACTTGGGAGGTATAAATTATGTTTACCAAATTGTTTTTCCTTCATATCAGGCAAGGAGCTCATTATTATTCATCTTAAGTTGCCCACATTGCATGCTCATGTAAAGCTGACTATAGTACAGCATGTCACGGATTTATTTCATGGCCGTATAGATTTTGATATCGCTAGCACCCGTACCACAACCAGTATCGCCAAAAGGGTTATTCTGCAACCTTTGTGCAGGTAGGATGATTTTTTAATTTAGGCCTAAATCATAGCGCACAGGAGTGTTTAAGGTTCTGCCCGGGCGGCACTTGGAGGGGCACCAAACAAACGAAAAGCGACAAAGAAATAAAGAAAGAGAATGTGAAGAAAAGGAAGAGCTTTATGGTAACCGTTCCTAAAGAACTATGCGCCCCTATCCAGGGTAAAGTGCACAATAAGAGTCTAAAATGCGAAACAAATATATATAATATATAAATATATAGAGAGAGAGAGAGTACCGAAGCTGTGACGTCATAAAAATCTATTTTGAGAATTTCTCAATTTTTTTCTTCATATTCCAAAAGAACATTAAAAAAAATGTCCAAATGTCGAAAACCAATTGAATATGTTAATTATTGGCTGAGATAATTATGATTCTCATTCTATTTATTTATATACACATAATATGATTCTCATTCTATTTATTTATATACACATAATATGATTCTCATTCTATTTATTTATATACACATAATATGATTATATATTCATTTATTAATTTATCCATTTAATAAATCAATTAATTGATTAATTTTTTGTTCTTCATTTATATATTCAGTTATTACTCAATTCATTACTCAATTCCCCCTCCCCTAGGAAATCTTGGATCCGCGCCTAACTATAGTTAGGCGCGGATCCAACATTTCCTAGGTCTTCCCGGCGTGGATCCAGAGGCGGGGGGGGGGGGGGGGGAGAGGGCCTTGACCCCCAACCGCCAACAAAAACTTAAGAGAGAGGGAGAGAGAAGGTAAAGCGGATAGTAAGGGAAAGGAAGAAGAGGAAGAAGAAGAAGAAAAGAAAAGGGGAAAAAGAAGGAGAACGGGGCGAAAGGCCTTTGCCACCCCCCCCCCTTTCAGCAAAAGAGAGATAGAGAGAGAAGGAAATTAAAATAAAGGAAAGGTTAAGAAGAGACAAAGGGAAAGGAAGAAAAAAGAAAAGGAGAAAGAAGGAGATCGGGGGGGGCCGAAAGGGCTTTGCTCCCAGGCTGTTGCCCCCCCCCCCAGCAAAAAGAAAGAGAGAAGAAAGAGAAGGTAAAGAAAAAAGGGAAAAGAGGAGATAAAGGTAAGGAAAAAAAAGGGGGGCATATCAGTTGCAGTTTTCCCGCCAACAAGTTGGGGATCGATGGCGGCAAATGGCCCTTGCCCCCCCCCCCCCATTCTACAGCAAACTTAACAGAGAGAGAAAGGAAGAGAAGGGAAAGAAAAGAAAGCTACGGGAGATCAATTGAGATTTTTCCTAACAACGCAGTGTGGATCGGGGGCGAAAGGCCTTCGCCAGCCCTCCCCTGGCCCCTCATTAAACAAAGAGAGAGAGAGAGAGAGAGAGAGAGAGAGAGAGAGAGAGAGAGAGAGAAGGAAGGAAAAGAAGGGAAAGAAGAAAGAGGAGGAAAGGAAGAAGAAATGAAAAAGAGGAAAAGAAGGAGATCGGGGGGGACCTAAAGGGCCTTGCCGCCCATGCTGTTGCCCCCCCCCCCCCCCGCAAAACAAGAGAGAAGGAAGGAAAGGGAAAGAAACAAAAGAAGAAAAGAAAAGAAAGGATACCAGTTGTAATTTTCCTGCAAACAAGATGTGGATCGCGGAGAAAGGCCTTTGCCTCTGCCCTCACCCCCCGACCACCCCTCCCCCTTCCCGCCAAAAAAAAATGGAACACAAAAGAGGAAGAAGAAAAGAAAAGAGTGAAAAGAAGCAGAGATCAGTTGCGATTAATCCCACCAACATCGTGTGGATCGGGGGAAACTTAAATGAGAGAGAGAGAAGTAAGGGAAGGGAAAGGGGGGGGGGGGAGAGGAAGAAGAAAGGTAGGGGAGATCAGTTGCAATTTTTCCCGATTTGTACCCCTCCCCCCCCCCCCCCTCAGCAAAGAGAGAGAGAGAGAGAGAGAGAGAGAGAGTGAGAGAGAGAGAGAGAGAGAG